CAACAAAGGTAATCATCGTCTTCATCGAAATTCGACAATTATTGCAACAAATGCCCCCTTAGATATCGATCACTTGTCCGGAAAGCTCGAGGATCTACCTGAGCTGTCAGCTGGTTCGGAAGAACCAAGCACAAACTCTGAGCAACCACTACTCGACGCGAATCGACCAGCCCCACCGCAAGAAAATCCTCCAAAGTAGCCATTTTCCCCGGTTTTTTTCTCCGATTTTTTTCCCCGGAAATTTTTTTCTCCGGAATTTGCGGGGTCTCTTTGCAATGGTCTTCACAATTCAAAATTCAAATAAAACATAAAATCCTGCAATTAACGTGTTTATGGAGATATTTATGTACCATTAATAGTCATATTTAAGCCAATCGTATACCTAAACGACACATTGTTTTTTTTTGGAAAACATAATTTTTATAATTTCAACACTATACGAGAAAGTTTTCCTGTAACTTAACAGAAAAAGAAACACTAAAGAACTAAGAAAATCTGTTTTAAAAATTCAAACGGAAAACTTTTTTCTCGAAAACCTCAATTGCCGCGATACCCAAGTAATAGTGACTCATGTACCTTTAAACGTAGTGCTGTAGACAAAGAAACTCTCGCAGCGATTGTTATTTTTCAGACATGTCTCCGAATGTAATCTACGATTTTCTCAGTGACCCAATTATTTTTATTAGCTTCTAAACTTTTTTCCACTGTTTTAGGCGAGAATGCTTGCCGCTGCAGTAAAGAATATCAATATTCCTATTATTAGGCGAGGCATGTCTACCCTATACCACGTTTGCGACAAAATCGAACAGCGCATCATCTGGATCGACTGCGAAATGACAGGATTGAATGTTGAGAAGCAGGTTACTTTGTGAATACATAATTTCAATCAATAGAACTATGCATTTCAGACACTTTGCGAAATCGCCGTTATCGTCACCGATTCGGAACTGAACACCATCGCCACTGGTCCCGATATTGTCATTCATCAACCAAAAGAAGTATTGGACAACATGGAAGAATGGCCAAGAAAAACTTTCCTCGAGAATGGGCTCATGGAAAAAATCATCGATAGCAAATATTCCATGAATAAAGCAGAAGACGAAGTGATCGAGTTCCTCAAACTTCATGCCCTTCCAGGTAGCAAACTATATACATTATCGCTTAAACAATATAATTTTTTTTCAGGAAAAAGTCCAATCGCTGGAAACTCAATCTACATGGACCGACTCTTCATTAAGAAATACATGCCCAAACTTGACGAATTCGCTCATTACCGGTGTATTGATGTCTCAACCATCAAAGGACTTGTTCAGAGATGGTACCCGGATTTCAAGCATCCAAGAAAAGCATGTACTCATCGGGCATACGATGATATCATGGAATCCATTGCAGAACTGAAAAACTACCGAGAAAGCATTTTTGTTAAACTGAACACTCCGTAGACTGTTGTTTTTCTAGTTGTTTTTTTCTTTTGTTATTTAAATTGTTGATTGAAGAGAGTGATAAACTTCGAATTTAAAAAATATTTAATAACTTCATTTTTGAGTCAAAATCGAACAAGACAAAACAGGATTGGAGAGCACCGGAGTTCCCAATGGCTACACCGAGAATCAAAAAACCTTGGATTTATTACACATAAATTTCGATTTTATATTCCCCACAACATTTTGTAAAATACATGTGTTCGCCAGAAAGATGTTTCCGAGATGGAAATTTAGTAGTGTGCAAACTTCCTCCGCGATGCTCCACTTGTTGCTCATCCATCTTTTTTCTGCTTCTCGCCTCTTCTTCAACCCTCGTTTCCACTTCCCTCCACTTGTGTTGTTTCCTCATTTCTCGATCCTCAACAAGAGAAGATATTTCTCACTGCCCAGGTGTGCAACGATCAACGCTAAAAAATGGTGGTCAGTTTTCAAGCTTTTTAAAAGTTTAATTGCAGTTACGGAGTTTTTTTACAGAGAGTAAAGTTTGGAAAAGAACAGTATGATGCTATCAAAAAATTCGAAGTTCAACATCATGGAGATTTTTGGAAGCTGATTATGGATAAAGTTAGTTAAAAGTATTTTTGGTCATAGTTTATTGAGAAGCTTCTAAAAATATTAAAATTTATATTAAAATTAAAATTAATATTAAAATCAACCAACTAAACTGTTATGTTTGGACCTACTTTTGTTAATCTTCTGAAGATTTGTTTTTATTCTGGGACAAAAATTGAAGCCATGGAAGAGAAACGGCGGTGGCTGTGGCCGGAGGTCCCGAAACGACAACTACCGTAACCTAAAAACAATTCCGTTTTTCGTGCGTTTTCAGTCAAATTTTTCACTATCAAAAAACTTTATCAACACATTTTAGGTTACGGTAGTTGTCTTTGTGGTACCTTCGTCCACGGCCACACGTGTTTCTCTTCCACAGCTCCGATTTTTTGTACCAGTATAATCAAGAAATGACCATGCTGACACATATGCAATACCATGACTATAATTACTTCCAGGTTGGTAAATCTGATGGTTTATCTATCCTGGATGTTTCTGAAGAAGCATGTCTTTTTGCTCTGACGTTGGCTGAAAACCATCCATCGAATAAGTTCGTTCTTCTTTCTTAAGACGGATTCCACTTTATCCCCTATTTCAGATTGACCATCATGGCATCTGCTGAGAAGCCGACGTTCACTTTCCCCGCCAACGTTGAGTACCACAAAGGAAACATAATGAGAAGTGCCGAATCGATTTCCCAGGTGTGTTTGAGGTGTTCGTCCCAGTCAGTCGTATCGAAAAAAAAACCAATCACATAAAAGCAAGTTAATGTGACCTATCAAATAATTAATGGGATATCGAGGCATCGAGAGTTGATCCGGTGTGTGTGCGTGCAGATAAGTGGATTAGCCATCTGTTATGTAACAACACATGCTCTTTTTCTTCTCTGGAGTCGCCGCCAAAACAACCAATAGCAATTGTGCGTTGAACCTTCGATCCGAAGATTTTTGAAGTTTACGCTGGCGCCATCCGAGTTTTTTTAGAGGAGATATACGAATGGAGGATTGGGTTTCATGGTCTAGGTGACGAGAATATCCCACTCAGAGAAGATAGAGGGTGGGGAGATGTTTACGACCAAAAATCACTCGAGTTACGTACTTTTCTAGGTTTTGTTAACATTTTGAAACTAACAAACAATATGTAAACATGAATTTAGTCTCTAGTCTTGAGACGTCGAACAGTATGGGATATCCACCAGTGGAGTACCGAACTGAACTCGGAACTCCAAAAAAGAACCAAAAAAAATCTCAGAATAAATGAGGTTACTGTAATTGTTAAAATGTGATTTGATTGTGTTAAGTTATTCATGATTTGAATATATTCAAAGATTTATAAAAATGATATTTTCAAATATTTATTGGAAGCTCCGTAAAGCCTGTAACATATGAAACTTTTAACTTTGAAATTCCGTCCATCCCTGGATATCGACAAAAACACATTATTAATCTCTCAAACCAAAATATTAGGTTGGCAACTAATTCCTTGAGCATTTTTGTTTTTCATCTTCATAACTGAGCTAGAACCTTCATAACTGAGCTAGAATCTCATAACTGAGCTAGAACGATATAAGATGGTAAAGTTGTTCACAAAATACCCATCATTTGCCCTGCTCTCATTCCTCTTGCGAACGGGATGCCCCGATCCATGACCGAGGCTCACTTCATTCATAATGCTATATTATTTCTAGTTATTTATAACCTGAAAATATCCTATATTCATCACTGCCTGGAGGAAACTTACAAGGACAATGCCTCCATAGAAACACCGTTGCAAAATGGGTTGGCAAGTTCAAGAACCAGGACTTCTCAACGAAAAATGAAACTCGTCCCTGGCTGCCAGTTCTTCAAGAAATAAGCAAACTGAGAGATCTATTCGAACGGGACCCTTTCCAATCTACCCGTGAAATCTCAATCACTTTAGGGGCAACTCATATCACAATTGAAAATATACCGTTAAAGTTGGGAAAGACAAAAAAAACTTGGACGGCGGATACCTCACCGTTTTGACCGGTTTTGATGTTCAGCGGCGAGAGGACATGAGCATGCAACTTCTTACTCTACTCGGGAACTTTTAGCGGCTGAATTATATTATCACCTTAGATAAGAAAAGGGTCATATATACTAACCATCACAGAAAAGCCCAATGTCTTGACTTCGATAAACAGCCAGTAGACGTCATCAAACAGGAATTTTACCCAAAAACAGTGGGTATCAAAAGGGGCATCCCGTTCGAAAGCGGAATGAGAGCAGGGCAAATGATGGTTATTGTGAACAACTTTATCATCTTATATACCATATTATGTTAAACACATGTTATGGTTCTAGCTTAGTTAAGAGAAAAGATGAAAAAAAAGTGCACAAAGAATTATTAGGTTGTTCGGAAAGTCCTTTTCATTTTTGATCTGTTGTTTTCAAACTTTGTTTTTTTGAACGGGGTAAAAGCGAGGAAGCTGTCGTTTTATCAATATATTGGTGGGGTCTAATAGTGTCTGCACCCCAACGGAGATCATTCCCCCCCCCCCCCTTTTCGTGTAATGAGATATGCTCACCGTTTTTGGCTCTATTAATTTCCATTTTTGGACTATAATTTTAATTGTATTTATATCTGATCTTAAATTAGCTGAAATCGATCGTCAACTAGTAGCGGTTAACAACGCAAATGCACCCATTCGAACTACCATCACAACCTGGATTCAGTAATCTGAAAAACGGGAATCCTTGTTTGACGAAAATCCCCCTTCAAAAAGGCAAATGGGCTTAGGTTTGGATGCATTAAAAGCCGGGAAAGAAAGGGACCGTCCTCAAACTGTGTGTGATGTATGAAGTACATCAGTGGCAAGCCTTTCGTTAAAAAACCGTAGATTGAAAACTCTCGGCACAGTCAAAAAAGTGGGAAGAAATTGACCCCATCTTTTGACTCAGCGCAACTTTTTTCCCCGGGTGGGCACCTGTTTGAATCTTCTCATCCTGCGTTGCACACATGAATGTTGGAATCAAACCATTGCTAGTGGTGATAAATGGGTAATGTGTGATTACAATAAGCGACAAGCCAAATGGGTTGACAAAGGCGCTCAACCACCAGACGTCTCGAAACGTGAAATTCGTGTTAAAAATGGGATGTTGTCGGTATGGTGGTCTACCAAAGAATGGAGTATTAGGAGCTGCCTGATAATAGTGTCACTTTTACGACCCATACCTATTCTTGTCAGGTGACATAACTCAGACTTTATGTGGATCTCCATTGGAGAGGAACGCAAAAATTTATTTTGAAAATTAAAATTAGCAACTTCATGCGGGAAGGAAGACCCAGGCCGATCTCGGTGGATATGTCTAGACGATTCTGCCTTATTCACTGTATAGCTCTAACCTTCTACTTTCTGATTATTACCCATCCAGCCACTTCTAACGTCATCTTGATTGACGACAATTTACTTCAAAACAACGTATCAAAAATGGGTTGACTTGATTTTGAACTCGCTGTGACCGGAGTTCTGGAAGGAAGGCATCCACAATTCAGTGGGGCATTGGCAGATAGTCATTGATAACGATGGTCATTACCTCCAATTTATCCGACATCGTTTTGACCTATTTTACTTTAAATGTATCTGACGCTAAAAATGGAAAGGACTTTCCGAACAACCTAATAGTTGCCAACCTAATAGGACGACAGTAGCACCTCTGAGAATTGGCAGTTCCCTCCGAATAAGTTTCATTCAATTTTCTCCCACAAGAAACACAAACTGTTTTTTGGTGGAAATATTCTTGCAAACCTACAATTTATTTTCTAGGTTCCCACTGAAATGTTTTCTCACGCCTCCAACTTTGTTGCGGAACTTGTTATCCAAATATCCTTTCCGAGATTCAACTTCCTAATTCACATGATACATTTCTTCAGCGTGGACCCTTTGATCTGATCATCTTCAATGAAATCTCACACGACATCAGTGACATCGATAAGCTGTTCAAAACTCTTAAAGGACTCCTCACAGGTTGGAATGACTCATAATGCAAAGACCTCTTTCCTAGTATCCCATTTTAGATGCCGGCACGATAGTCCTCTTCTCTCGTCCCAAGAATCCGCCACTTCCAGTTCCAGACGTTTGTCTGATGCTCTGGAGAAAACTTGCAGCCACCAAGGAGGAGTTAATGGCTTCAGCGAATGCGGTCAGTGACTACTCACCTGACACGAACCTTACGTAGACATCGACTCCCACGGTTATGAGAAAATCAGTCATCAGGTTGAGAGATGTTAGAAACCACTCGTGGTTGGTGTCTGTGGAAGCATTTTGCAAAAAATGGATGATCAATTTTCACCTTCCCAGAAAATTCATTGAAATTTCAAAGAAACATTTAAGAATTATTCCAAAATGTTTTTCAGGCACAATTGAACACTACATGCTTTTCTGCTGCTGTTCCAATATCAGTGGATAAAGTTCAATGGGAGAATATTCTGTATTCTGGATGCTTCCCAGCCATCAAAAACACTCCAAAATGTGATGAGCGTACAATTCGTGATTTCTGTGTCGCCAAGTCTGGAAAATTCGAGTTCGAGGAAAAACTTCTGATTGTTATGCTCCGCAAATAATTATGTGATTACGCTCTGTGTCTCATGTCAATAAAATTTGTTTTTCCCTTTCTTGGGGTCTCTTTTATTAGTTGACTCAATATCAATAATTGCTTTTTTCATGAATAAAAAAGCACGTATTCTGAATCTCAGGATTTTGTTGCAATGTGCACGGATTGGGTATATATGGGAAAGTTCCATGTGATTCTGGATTTACTTGTATCTTGTTCCTCGAGGAACATTGCTCAGCTGAATCTCAACAATGTTAGACCACGTTGATCTATATCTTCTTCCTCTTGCAATATTTTTCATCTTTTGCTCCACAATAGGTTTAATTGGAAACGCGGTTATGATATTTTGCTGTGCAGTGACGAAGTGATAAAAAAACATTCTAAAAACATGTGAATTTTTAATTTTAGAAGACTTCGTTCGCCGTGCCATTTTCTGATTTCCCTCACATGCCTTATTGATGCATTTCACATCAGTGGACAGTATCCTTTTATTTATCAATTCTTCACTGGATGTTGGTTTTTTTAATTATTATTTTTTCTCAGTTTTCAACTTTTTCAGATACATCAAGACAATCCGGTTGCTACTTCATTCTGATTCTTCCCATCGTCGGTTACACTGCTGGCGGTCCATTAATTTTAGCAATGGGAATCGACCGATTCATTGCTGTAAAGTTTCCAACGACCTATAGATACTATCAACAAGTATCGGTGAAATACATTTCTGTGCAAATGATATTCCCAATAATGTATACTTCGTTTTTTTAGCGTTTGGATTCATAGAAAGAGATGTGAATGAGTATGTTTTGAACTCCCAAACAGTATAAAATATATTATTCTTCTAGACAGATTACATGTGCAAATCCCCTAGCTCTGAAAGGAGCCTCTTTTCAATGGTATAACTATACATGTTCATTTATATACATTGCAATTTTCTTCGTCTATTTCAGAGTATATTTGCTATTGAAATCAAACAAGACAAGTATGAAAAACGACAAGGGTTTCTCCTAAGAATTACTTTAGGTTCTCGAAAGTGTTTTCCGTTCTATTCTTGTCACCGTCAGTTTTGTTCTCCTGGGATGGGCAACTACAACCATCGCCAATTCTGCCTCTTATTCAGTCACCGATAACTTAAATACTGCTCATCTGATTCAGACCTATGCTGGAATTACAGTCAACTTCGCCGCCGCTTCCAATGTTTTCGTATTCTATTCAATAAAGTCAGTTGACCTGAATGGTTTCAATTGTAAATTATCCATCTATTTCAGTACCGAATATCGTGAAGCTATCAATACACTTTTTGGAAAACATAAGAAATCTGGGATCTCTCATACGGAAACTTCGACGACTCAAGATTTTGGAACCCATAATTCAAAGAGATCCAAGTCAATGTCTGTATTGTCAATGCCCAGATTTTTCTCATCTTCAAAATTAATTTCCTCATCCAGAAGAATGACACTGGTCTGATATACAATCAGACACTCACCCTCTTGTTCCCGAGCTCCTCCCCTTTTCTGCTCACCTTAGCACCAGGGTGGGAAACATCCTTGTTTTTGGCTCTCGCCCTCCACATAAATCCCATTTCTTCTCTGTTTTATTAATGTTCGATTACATAAATCCTGCTATTTTACCACTCGGTTTCTTTTTCTTTTTCTGCTCTTTGATAGGAGTAATTGGAAATGCTATTATGGTGTTTTGCACTATTAGAACAAAGTTGGTTGAAATTTCAAAAAAAGGTACATAACTTATCTTTGAAGACGATTCCGATCTCCATGTCATCTGCTCATTTGTGCAACATGTGTCGCTGACTTGCTCCATGTTTGTGGTCAGTTCCCATTCTGTGTTCACCTATTTGGAAACTGTAAGTTTGTATTGAATTTAGAATTATTCTTGAAATAAATTGCTATAGTAACATCTTCACAAGCTCAATGTTTCTACATCCTCTCCATCCCAATTGTTGGATTCACGACTGGAGGTCCTTTGATTCTGAGCATGGGAATTGATAGACTGATAGCTGTGAAATTTCCCACAAAGTAAACGATTAGACCTAGATTCGATGTTTTATTTCCCGCTTTCTAGATATCGTTATTATCAAGAAGAACCTCGAAACTATGTGATTGCACAATTATCTTTTCCGCTTCTGTATAGCATTGTTTTTCTAGTCTACGGGTTTCTTGTAAGGGATACAGATGTGAAAAAGTAAGTACATAAATATTGAGAAAAAATCTGCTGCAATCTAATTCTCAAGTCAACTAATTTGTTCGAATCCTCTCTCGTTGAATGGAAATTCCTTTCAAATGTTCACTTATACCAGTGGGATTATATACATTGCAGTGTTTTTTGTTTATCTGTCAGTTTATGTAATGTTGAAATCCAACAAAGCTAGTATGTGATTAAGCTTTGAACTCTTTACAATTTCATGATTTCAGGCGCTCGGTTCAAAAATGTATTCAGATCTATCCTAGTGACAGTTGGATTCGTTTTACTCGGCTGGGTGACCACTACCACTGCTAACACATTATCGTATTCTATAACTGATGATCTTTTCACTATTCAATTGATCCAAATGTATGCTGGAATCACTGTCAACTTCGCAGCAGCTTCGAATGTTTTCGTTTTCTATGCAATAAAGTAAGACACCTCAATCTTACTCGTTTTTTTCCTATCCTGCAATTTCCAGTTCTGAATATCGCTCTGTTATCAAATCCATGTTCGGAATCCGTATCAAAGGTGGAATGATTTTCGAGCCGTCCAGTACTCAAACAGTCACAAAAGTGGTCCCTCGATCTGTATCTCAGCCGAACGTCGTCTTCGAAAAAACTCCAGCCGCTGCTCGACGAATGACAGTTGTATAAATTATAATTATACCTTTTCTTTAGTTCTTATTGGAAACATTTTCACTTTTAAAAGTCACTCTTGAGTTCAATAAATCAGTTATTTGACATACTCTTGACAAATTCACCTAATAGAATTCGAGTAATTGAGTACCAGCTCAAATCAATTCGATTAAAGCTGTCACAATTAGTGATCAGTGGAGTCTAAAAAATTGCTGAATTATTAGTCTTGAAAAAAAAGCGGGAAGTTCAAATTAATTTGTTTCAACGAGCTTTGGTTTTTGAGCTCAACATTATTATCACCATTTGATTGAGGTAGGCGTACCAGAAACGACATTGGGTACATGAGAATAGAAACGTGGGAATTAGGGAGAAGAAGAATGGAAAGGGTGACACATTTCAGTCATCAAAATCTGCATCAGTCGAGAAGTTTTCAATGTTTGACTACATCGCCAAAGAAATTCTCCCTCTTGGATTTTTCTTTTTCTTTTGCTCTGTTATTGGAATTGCTGGAAATCTTGTGATGCTAATGTGTTCGTTTAGAACTAAGTCAGTTAGGGAAGGAGTATTGATGATTGATAGATTAAATGTTCAGAAGATTTCGTTCTCCTTGCTATATTCTGATTACGGTTACTTGTTTGGCGGATGCAATCCATATCAGTGGACAGTTCCCGTTTTGTGTGCATCTCTTTGGAAATTGTAAGTTGGTTTAGATGTCTAATCAGATATTAGTGAATGTACACCGTTTTGCTGTCAATTAGGTCTTGAGAAACGCGATTGCTTAATTATTCTAGAAGTAGTAACCATAAACTTCTCGATTGGTATCACTATCAAATCGGGCTCCAGGACATTTCGCCACAAAGATAATACAGGAGGACGAAAACTTTTTAGATTACAACGCAATTTTAGGGTTTTCAAATGGGCTTTCTCTGATAGAACATATCCTGAAAGTCGAAAAATTACAGAACTGAGTTTATCTCAATATTGTTTTTTTTCGAATTTTTGTAATTTCAGAATTTGGTCTATCAGAAGATGTATGTTTGAAACCCTATAAGTGTTTTTGTAGTCCGAAACCTATCCATTCGTCTTTATTATCACGGTGGCGGAATATCCAGTGACATAATGCCCCGAAGCATCAAATCGCTGAATGTTCCAGTGACATCAACTCAAGCACAATGCTACTACATGCTCATCGTTCCATTAATTGGCCTCACTTCTGGCGGACCACTCATTCTATCCATGGGCATCGACCGACTGATTGCAGTCAAATATCCCACCAGGTATATATATTTTTCAAATAATGGACACCCAACCTTTTTTCATCTAGATATCGGTACTTCCAAGAGGAGCCCAAGCTCTACGTTTTTGCTCAACTACTCTTCCCAATAGCATACGCGGTTATTTTTCTGATTTACGGATTTTTGGTCAGAGACACGGACAGCAAAAAGTGATAAAATAGTTATTTTTTCACAAAAAGAAATGTATTATTTTCAGGCAAATAATATGTGCGAATCCGCTGGCTCTGAACGGAACTGCATTTCAAATGTTCACATATTCTAGTGGAATCATTTACGTATTCGTTTTTATCGTCTACCTATCAGTATACATTCTTCTGAAAAGCAACAAAGCTAGTGAGTTTTACCCAATTAAAATTCCTTTTCAATTCATTTCAACAGGCGCAAGATTCAAAAGTGTATTCCGCTCTCTGGCGGTTACTGTAGGTCTTGTGATGTTTGGATGGGTTTCCACTACAACTGCAAACACCTTATCTTATTCCATTTCGGATAGCGCTTATACTGCTCAACTCATTCAAATGTATGCTGGAATCACAGTCAATGCAGCAGCCGCTTCAAACGTCTTTGTTTTTTATGCAATCAAGTAAGCTTGATTTTTTTGGTTGCAGATATGAATCATAACATTTTAAAATATCTTCCCATGAGTATCACATGATACTTGCACTTTTGTGCAATTTGAGATCTTTAGATGTTGCGTCAATAGGTATAATCAGACACGTGGTTAGAGATGAAGTCCCTACGGGAGAATAGGATTCACCATTTCTGAGAATCTAAACTCTGAAGATGTATAATATCTGAAATTAAATTCCAGCTCGGAGTATCGGGAAGTGATCAAAGCATTGTTCGGCTGCAAGAGCAAGGCAAACTCTCCAGCATTCGAAGCATCAAGTACCATGGTGACAGTAAAATCAGATGCGAACCTTCAGAAGAGAAGATCCACGATTCTGTTCGTTATTCTTAAAGTGCATGCTAAATTTCATTAATACATTTTCAGGTCAACCAAGTCTATCGTCCCAATCATTAACTGACTATTATACTTGTCAGAACTCCTTTTATTAATGCAATAAATATTTTTCGAAACATCAACATCTTGAGTTTCGCTTTTCTTAGAATCTTAAAGAAAAAACTTCTCCTCCTCCCTTTGGAGAACAATTATTCTCACGCCTGTCACATGAGAATCCATCAGTTCAGACTTTTGATCAACTCGACATTTTTTCTCTAGTCTAATCTGAGAAGTTGACCGCCTACAACACTCATGTTGCCAGCTGGTTTTTCAGAAATCAAGATTTTTTCTTTAGAAATTGCTTCATGAGTTTTGAACTTCTCAAGTTCAAGTTTTAGTTACAGAAAGATGTTCTCACATATTCATCCGTTAATTCTTCCTCTGGGATTTTTCTTTTTCATCAACTCATTCATTGGTGTCGTTGGGAACGCCATTATGCTCATCTGTTTCTTCAAAAATAAGTGAGTAGTTGGAAGAAATCAGATTAAAAATCATAATTGTCGATGGGCAAATTTTGGGCCGGCACCGGCCGGCTGGTAACTCGCTTCAAAATTGAAATTGTGAGCAAAATATCATACCAGATGATGAGCTCTACAACCTCCAATAAGAATCGACTGGCTTCGAAAATATGTAGTATGATCCGGGCCGGAGATACTTGCTTCTCCCGGCTATTAAATTTCAGGGCGCACCCCAAACTACTGATTTATTGCTGGTCGGTTTTTTGCAGGTTGTAGAGCACGCCGAGCTCCATCACCTGGTATTTTGTTTAGCCCACAATTTCAACTTTGAAGTGAGTTATCAGCCGGCTCGTGCCGGCCCGGAATCGGCCCGGCGACAAGCAATACAAAACTAAAAAAGGATTTCAGACGTCTCCGTTCTCCATGCCACATTCTAATTAGTTTGACTTGTATCTCCGACTTATTGCATTTATGTGCACAGTTTGTTTATTGCGTTCATTTATTTGGAAACAGTACGTTTCAAATTCTTACAGTATTCCAGAGCAACCCAAACTCATTTCCAGTGACAAGTTCACAAGCTCAATGTTTTTACATGCTCATCATTCCACTTTACGGCGTAGGAGCATCTGGTCCTCTAATTCTAGCAATGGGAATTGATAGATTAATTGCTGTGAAATTGCCTACAAAGTGAATCAAAATTTTAGAAGCTTATCATAATTCTTTATTTTTCAGATATCGCCTTTTTCAACAAGAGCCAAAACATTACATCTTTGGGCAACTCGTTTTTCCAATAGTTTATACTTTGGTACTTCTCTACTATGGGTTTCACTACCGTATTGTAGACGACAAATTGTACGAGTTTAATGAAGTCTGAATTCAAATTAATAAATTTCAGACAAATTGCATGTGCAGTCCCACTTGCTCTCATGGGAACACCATTTCAGTTTTTCACCTACTCAAGTGCTTTGATTTATTTCTTGGTGGTCATCGTGTATGGAATAGTCTACTATCTTTTGAAATCTAACCAAGCAAGTGAGTATTGTGATCATAATGGTTTTCCATTAATTTTTTTCAGGCGCTCGCTTCAAAAGTGTTTTCCGTTCAATTATGGTAACCGTCGGTTTTGTTTTATTCGGATGGGTCACCACAACTCTCACAAATACTCTGTCCTATGAGATAACTGATGTGGCTTTCACTGCTCAATTAATGCAGATGTATGCAGGAATAACTGTCAATTTCGCAGCTGCTTCTAATGTTTTCATTTTCTATGCTATTAAGTAAGTGTCAAATATCATAATTCTTAACAATGAAACTCCAGCTCGGAGTATCGGGAAGTGATCAAAGCATTGTTTGGGTGCAAGAGCAAGGCCAACACTCCAGCATTCGAAGCATCAAGTACAATGGTTACTGTATCTTCAACTTCACAAATTCAGAAAAGAAAATTGACAATGGCATCAATCAACTAATCATTTCAAACTCTCCACTTTTCTTTTCATGTACTAAACAATTGTTCTTTCTGAAAAATAAACCGATCACCGGTACATTTGTAAAATGAGATTGCTCTCTGGATCTCCAGCTTGTTGTCAATTTTGATTATTTTTCGAAAAGAAAAAGAGTTTGTCGTTTTTTTCACCCTCATGAGGTTTTTAACAAGGTCATTCTCATTAAAAGAAGCCAATCTAATCTTCCGGATTAGAGAATGTTTCATTTTTCTGGTTTTCATTCTTCACATTTTCAGTTCACATTTTTCGCTGTGACTCTATTTTAAATTCTACTTTGAAATATAAATAATTGGACAATTAATGTACAATTTGAGTGCATTCGTAGATAATTGAAATAGAATTTGAAAAGAAGTTTAGTCTTATGAGAACTCTCTCGCGTCATTTTCAGCATCTCTTTCTTATTCTTCTTTCTCTTTTCCATTTGGCTCATCAACATTTAATGGATCCGTTTAGTTTTTGATCATTTCCAACTTTTCATTTAAAGACTCTCGTCGACTGAAGACAAGTTCAGGAAAGGAAGGAAGTCACTTTAAGGATTACATGTTTTTTTCCTTTTTTCTTCGTTTTTACACACTATTTGCAAAACATTCTCTGTAGAAAATTGACCACGAGGTTCATTCGTCAGTCTTGCGAAAAAATCATTTCACTGCTTGCTGTTTGAGTTTTTAAGTTTTTGAAAAATTTGTTCGGATTTCATTGTTTTCCGGAAACGAAACCAGAAATTCGAGAAACATGTAGTGAAACAAGACCTTCGTATTCAATGTCCGTCACTTTTCGCACCTTGTGAAAAAAAGAAATTCAGAGGTCTTGGTATCCAACACATTCCATGATGAATAAATTATTGAAACACACATCGAATGGTTCTCAGCTCAGTTCACAAAGATCAAGATCACACATAATCTAATGTGAAGCTAGAAACATATTCATCATTCGAAAAAATTTTCTCGAATTTCAATACGTCTTCAGTATTAATTTTGATTACAATAAATAGTAAAATGAGATTTTTATGAAAGTACAAAAAAAAAACTAAATTAGCAGTCAATGTGTCTCCCTGGAGAATATAGATCAGTTTTCGAAAACAACTATAAAATCCGCTTTTTTTTCAGATTCGAGAGAAAAAGATAAAATATGCAGATTCCAGTTTTCGAGTCATTCTATTTTTTCCCTCTGAAAATCCTTCAATTCTTGGGACTTCTAACTTTTGTATTCTGAAGTGCCCTCCCACAAAATCTGCTAAAATATGCTTGCGTTAAAGTTCAAAAACTAAACCGGAAACCACCTTTTTTTGAACTCGACTTTTCTCTTTTTTCTGTTTTTTTTCGCTCGATTCCATTTTCTATCTAATTTGAAGATCTTTGCATTTTTTTTTCAAAACAAGCCTCGATTTTCAGTTTTTTTTTTTACTTTCAGAAAATGTTCGAAGACGTACATCCATGGATGATACCACTCACATTCTTCTACGTGATTATCATTCCAATTGGGGTTTTCAGTAATATCATCATGATCATTTGCTTCTTCATCAATCCGTAAGTAGTGTTCTCATCTATCTTCTACCCTTCAGTGTCTATTTTCAGACGCCTTCGTTCTCCATTTCATATTCTGCTCACGCTAACCTGTCTAGCCGATGGAATTCACGTCTGTGGTCAGATTGTTTTCGTCGTTCAGCTACTCACGAATAGTTCGTTGAAAAACATATGAAAGTCATAAAATACAGATATTTTCAGCCTACTCATACCAATCAACATGTTATTTTCTCAACTTTTTCCCAGTAATTGGTTTGACTATTGCTGCTCCTCTTCTTATGGAAATTGGATTGGATCGTCTTCTTGCCGTCTCGTTTCCAATTAAGTGAGCTGATTGGACAATGAAATTCAAAATTCATATCATGGGTCTTCTCTCCAGAGATTTCCGGATCCCGTATTCCGGATTACGGATTCCGTATTTCGGATTCGTGTTTTTTTGCTGATTCCGAGAAACAACATTTTGTCAGGATTCCAGATTGCAAGAAAATTTTTAATTCCGAATTCCTGATTCTGGAATCCTAGAAAAATGATTTGCTCCGAATTTTCGACAAAAATTTTTATTGGGGATAATCCTCCTCCATAAGAAGTTGTTCCGGATTCCGTAATTTTTTTTTATCCGGATTCCACATTCCGGGCATTTCTGCTATCCTCCTCGGTGTCCCCTGGCAATGAAAATAAAAACAGATCAAATTAACTTGTAAATTATACAGTAAATTCATGATTTTATATTTTCACAGATACCGCGGATTTCAATTCCAAAAAGTTTTGTACACCTCGATTCATCTCGTCTTCCCGATTCTCTACACGACTTCAATCCTCTATCTTGGTTTCATGGAACGAAATAATGAGTGGGTAGTTCTGTTTCCGGTTTCAAAATGATTTATGCCTTTTTCAATTGAGCATTTCCGTAATTGCAGACTTGTGAAATGCGCCATACCAACTGCTTTGGCAGGCGTTTCCTTCAAAGTGTTCACTCTTTCGAGCCATGTAATTTACATGTCAATTATCTTGGCCTACTTGATGACAGCTGTGCTTCTGAAGTTTCATGATACAAGTGAATCTTTATTTGAATAATAGAGACACAGATTTTTTTCAGGTTCTCGATTCAAAGCAGTTTTCAAATCAATCGGAGTCACAGTCGGAATAGTTCTCTTTGGATGGGCCATAACTACCGTATCCAACACTTTCGGATATTTTGTCACCGATGATTTCGAGATTTTCAATCTGATTCAAATGTATTCTGGAATAACCGTTAACATTGCAATTTCATCAAATTTGTTCATTTTTTACACAATCAAGTAAGCAGAAACTAAAAAATTTTTAACGATCTGATGATAAGCTACCCCTTAGGACAAAAACCACATGTTTCTTGATAATCAGGCCAGAACACTGAAAAAAAAAACATTTGTTTTACGTATTTTTATCAGTAATGTATATATTTTCAGCCCTGAATACCAACTGACTGTCAAAATGTTATTGGATGGCTCATTTGGAAAACTTCCAACCTTCACAGATTCTGCTAGTGAACTACAAAATCTTCGGAAAAATACGAAATCTCAAGAATCTTAATATGATCTCATAATAAATTGTTTTTTGACTAGCAAGCTGGTGCGCAATCTTGTTTTATCTTGTTTTTTACTGATTGAATGGAAATACGGCATACTAGAATCAAGATTTTTGAGTTTCTGGTTCTAAAAATGTATTTCCTTTGATTTTAAGAATATTCTAAAGTTCTAATATTTCAGAAATTTTTGGAATTCCGAGGATGATTTCTGAATTGGGATACTTTTTGAATTTGGCGCCAAAATTCAGGTGCCCCAGTGTAAGGTTAACAAAGCGTTTTTGCCTAAACCTATGACTTTAAACAAAAAAAATTGAAACAAATTTGCACCGAAAAATGTGAAAATCTTACTGATTTTCGCTAATTTCAGTACTTTTTGACTGGAATTTTTCACATTTTTTGAAAAATTATAGGCCTTCCCTTTTATTGGGCTATCCGAAAAATGGTGCTAAATTCAAAAACTTTGCATGACCAGAATTCGAATTCAAAATTTAACACAAAAATGTTGGTAGGAATAGGAAAAATTATTTTTTCTTCATAGCTATTCAGATTTTTTTGGTAATTTTTCAACATTCTGAAAATTATTCTATTCTTCCTAAATTTTGTGTTCTCTTGAAAAATCTGTAGTTTTTAACTGTATAGCATGTCAATATTGAAATATGTCAACTGTAATTTCAAATTTTCTTTTTTTTTTTTGAATGTACATATTATTGCTGTCTGAAAAAAAAGAAGGTTAGAGAGAATTTTTTGCAGGGAGCCTTGCTTCTAGATGTCAGCTGATTTAGGACGCTAAGCCAACTTTTTAAAGGCTGAAAGTACTTGCTATCCGAGGGAAGGGTTGCTATCCGAGAGAAGTTCGACATATTCTTCTTCTAGTTTTGATGGGAATATATTCGAATCCACACTAAATTGCTTCAGTCGCACTACTGTGGATCCACGTTCCTTTTTTTATCTCCCTCATTTTTTTTTTGAAATGTCACGGAAAAATATAATATTGTTGTCCTGAGAATCAGAAAACAGAAACAAGGAACAATACACGTGAAGAAAACCTCCCCCAACAAAAAAAAAAATCAAAAAGCCTTTTGCATTCTCATGTAGAAATACGAGATCTCTTACCGGGACGGACAGACGCCTCTAGCGTTTTATTTATAAGGAAGATGTTCCTCCAAGTTAAAAAAAATCTATAGACACAGTTCTAAATATTGTAAAATATATGCAGTGCCGGTCAATTTCAGAATTTTCAATGTGATCGGAAACTCGGCAGCCGTGCTCCGACCAAAAATAGTCAAAATGGCCAAAATTAAATGAAAAATATGTTTTTGTATGTCTTAACGACCGATACTGTAATATAAACGAATTTCAAATTTTGACATTTTTGCAATTTCTTATTTCTCAACGACAAATTTCAAGTGAACCATAACGGAAAATTATTCATCCAGACTGTAACCTAATTCAAACGGCATTCACACAATTTTTTTAAATCATTCAAATGTTTTATTTGGCCAAATATACATGTTCAAACCGATAAATTGCTGAATAGCTAAATCACAGTTTACTCGTAATCTTTTCCAATTGTTTCCCTTTGATTCATTTGCACTTTTGATTTTCGACCTCCTCTCTCGATTCCACCGTATTGTTGTTCTCGCTGTCCACCTTTTTCAAATCTGCTGAAAAAATAATTCTAATGTGAGCTAAATTAGACGGGACGAATCACAAAAATGAATATTCACCTCACCATTCTGCCGCGACATTGCTTCCATTCGATTCTCTGGGAAAAGTTTCCAGAAGAATGTGAATCCGAATACAGTAACCATAAAATTGAAACCGATATAAACGAAGAGAAGCGACATAATTGAAGATGTGTTGGCTGAATATCAGCAGTTCTCTCGAGCTGGCAGTAGTGATAACTGCGTTATTGAAAATTTAGGACAGTTCACGTATATGGTATTATTTCCGTCTGTCTGAAATTAGGTGAAATTCTGACTTGTCCTTTTTGTGACTTATCACACGTGTTAACTATAACTGACGTAGAGAGAAAAGATAAGTGATAAGAAAAAAGAGACAAAGAGAGGAAAAAAAAAGTTGAGTCACACTGTAAATGCACCTGCCAGAAAAAGAGGAAAAATAAAACGGAGAGAAGAGTGGAAATAATCCTGAAGTGAAGAGTGACGCTTACAATGACAAATGATCGCAAATATAGGAATACTAGAAACTATTTGGGGCTGATAAATGAATGAGTTTCTAACTGTTTAAATCAGAAGTAAATCTTTTTCGATACCCAGTTAAGAATTTCAAAGTTCTTCACTATATTGTCAAAAAATGAACTGCAAAGCCTACTTGCAACGGGCCGGGCTTTTTTCAAAGTTTTCAAGGCCCGGGATTGGAGCAATTTTTTCCTGTTTTCCCAAAAAATTTTTTTGGGTCACATTTTCTGCCAAATAAAAAGCTGGCCATGAACGCAGTGATTAAACTTTTTTAAATCAAATTTCCGCGATTCCAATTTTTCAAGTGTGGAAACCCCAACAACTTTCAAACCAGCAAGTGAAAAGTTCCAGTTGTATACCCACATAAATCAAGAATCTAAGACCAATGACAACTTTCCATCTTAAAAGAACACATGAGGAATGGATTATAGAAAATCCTCGAACAAAAATTGGTTGAAGTAAGAGAAAAATAGGGAAAGAGAGCTGTGAATGTCAAAATTAATGAAAGGGTTTACTCATGAACTTTAACGGTTTTCATAACCTTTCTCTTAGGAAAATTTGTTATTGAATTCTCGTCGAAAACATACTAATTGCTGAATCAGAATTTTAACGAATTCTATGGTTTACTGCGCATTCTCCTCGAGCCATTAGGCTCCGCCCACTTCTGAGGCGCAATTTTATAATCACGCGATAATACATTTTCTAGAGTTTTTAAGGTTTTCATCTGTCTTCTCACATGCCTCGTTATTTAACCCTCCCCCAAAAAAGTTGGAGAAATGAAACCGAAGATGATGAATAATGTAAAGGGCGGATACAAAAAAAGAGGGGAGCACCAATCGAAGAAAAAAGGTGAAAAAAAACTTATGCTGTAAGAAGAAGAAGGACAAGAAAACTGAAGGAAATGAAAAGGACGTAGAAGAAGAAAAAGAAGAAGATGAAGCGGGAGCGGAAATTAAGAAAAGGAAAAAATAATATATAGAAAAAAGAAGGGGGATCTCGCCTTGCTAAGTATTATAATCCTTTCCGTGCTCAAAGAGATAGAGAGGAAAAACATGAAAAAAATGGAAAAGCAAAGAGGAAACGGGAGCGAATCTTGATACATTCCGCTGCCCCCAGAAGAAATTGAAATCGCCAAAAAGGACGGACAAAAGAGAAAAAGAAGAAGAGAAAAAAGTTTGGAACGTCTAACAAAAGACGGCTGCTCTCGTTTTTCTTTTTCTTGTTTGTCACCATCTGATTGAGTTGCTATTAGATGAAATTGCCATTTTTCAGATCCCATGGAATCGGGGCCAACGACCAACTGGAATGCTTTTAGCAAAATTTCGAATAAAGTGAAAAAGCATTTTCGATTCAATTGGGAGGTATGGGAATCTGATATATATAGAAACATATTGCCCGATTCGAATAGCTTGAGACTTCACAATTTTCAGTTCATAAACGGCACTGGTAGATTCGTAATGCTAAAAACATCAATTAGTATGTCTATTTTTAATGACGCCGCTGATGTGATTTTATTGCTTTATGAATTATAAAACAAACAAATACATGTGTACGAAAAACAGCTTCTCAAGTACCGGCTAGAGGTTTTGAAGTCACCAAAAAGACTGATTTTCAACAATTTATTTCTCAAGGTAAATATCAGAGTTTGTGTGAATCACCCAAGAAATATTGACACTCTTTTGATGGTGTTTGAGAACTTTGAAACGATGAGTTCTTCGAGAATGTTTTGTTTTTCCATAAATACTCAAAAATTCTAGAAAACTGGAAAGATGTTCATGTGGGATTTCTGTCAGGCTGCAAAAAAAAGAAGGGAAAAAATAGAAATTATTAAAAATCGGATCGAATTTCAGGACAGGTGTGAGAAAATGAAATTTAATTATGAATGTGAATTCGTCAAGCATTAATACACAAATCACGAAATGATAAGAAGAGGAGTCTGAACAGAAAGAATCAATCGTGATATGAAATGTGGCAGTAAGTAAGTCTCCTTGCGCAAACACCTGTCTCTTCTTTTGGGAGGCTCGCTGAGTTCTTCACCTGTCTATTTACTCTGCTGTCCGATTGTTCGCACTGCGATACCAAAGGGTTTTGGATACTCGATGAGGACTGGAGGAAGAGGTTCAAAAAGTTGAGCACTTTAAGAAAAGAAAAAGCGAAAAAAAGAAAGTAAAAAAGAAGAAAAGGTGTTTCTATTGAAACAAATGGACGGAAAGGAAGAGAATAAGAGGAAGGGAGCGTTGAGTGGGAAACAGCAGAACAAGGAAACAATACCGGCACTAAAAGCAAAGATTTATGAGAAAATCGACTTCATTTCAGCAAAACAGTATATTTGTTTTCTTCGAAATATTTATTATGCGCTCACAAAATTATTAAAATATATTGAACTCGGGATTGGGCTCGTTCCATAATAATTTAGACAAAATATGAACAGAAAAAAAAGAAAAAAAGAGTGGAAGAACAATAGGAAATATAAGAAAATCATAAAAAGCATGAAAGCAGAAGTGGAAAATTATTTTCTAGAGACGAATTTCTTCTCCTCCCACTCGATTGGTTCCTTTCTTTTCTTTTGGCATACAAGGAATGTATTGAACTCCAGGAATACGATTAAGAATATTCATTGCCCACGGAGGGAAGCTATAGGTACACTCATCTATTCCACCGGCATAGATCTCCCCTCTTGGTCGAAGACCTCTTTGCTCGCGTGTTGCGCCTGGAAACGGATAATTTGTTCAGCTGACGTTTAGAGGTCAAATGAAAAAGCAAACAGAATTTTCTTGAATCTCACATTATTAAATCCTATAAAGTTAAGCCTCACCTCCAATTGTGTTATCCAAAATACATCCACAAAGAGCTCCCACAAACATTGGCATCTGGAGAAGAACGTTGAGAATCTGATTCAACCAGGACCACGCGTTTTCCACTGGGAACTTGTTGAAATACTTTGGAACAATTAAACCAAACATCATCGAGAATCCGAAGACACCCATGTTTCGAGAAAGAGACATGTCCACTGTTTGAAGATTTGCGATAGCAACACCAACTACCATAGCCATTGAAGAAGCAAGAACTCCGCCGACAAGAGGATCCGGTATAGTAGAAAGAAGAGCTCCGATCTTTGTGATGAGGCCAAGGACAATGAGGAAGAGTCCAGCCATGACCATAGTCCATCTGGAAGCGACTCGAGTCACACCAATCACTCCAATATTTTCTGTATGAGTCGTCATTCCGACTCCTGGTCCGAGAAGTCCTGAAATCAAAGATCCTAGGCCTTCTGCCAAAATTCCTCGATTGATAGCATGGCTTGGTGGTGGTCGTTCTTCAGAAACTCTGGCAGCTGCATGATAATCACCAACTGATTCGAACACTGATGTCATTGCAGAAAGGGTGAAGAGCAAGAAGAGACCAAGGTTGAATTGAGGAGCTCCGAACTTTCCAGGATACGGTACTCCAAGCCACGCGGATTCATCAATAACTTGAAGAGAAATATTCTTATCTACACGAGCAGCACTTCCTTCCGGAGTTAGATTGAAGACGGTGAGGATGATGCAGAAGATCCATGAAGTACAGATTGCAATAAGATACTGAAAATGGAAATTTGGTTACATGAATAAATGAAATAAAAATACGGGATACTGTCCAAACAGGTTGACTTTGTACCAGTGGAATCTTCTGTTTTTGACCCCAGGAATCGGAATCTTCACTTCTGCCAAATAGAGAATTGTAGCGAAAAGAGTAACAGCTTGAACAATAGCGACCCAGTGCTTGCTGATATGAGTAACCATCAAGTCGACTTGACTGAATGCCAGGAGAAGCATCAGCGGGGATACCTGAGATTTTCGATCTCAATTCTAGAATTTTGAATGAAGTCATAGAGTACTTACAGTAAGGGGCCCGATAAACTTTGTTAGCATTCCAACAAGACCAGTGCATCCGATGAACATTGGAATAAAAGACGAAGCAATCAAGCATCCTTGAAGAAGTGCAAGTTTTCCAAAGTAGATCTCTTGGGGAACGGAATCATGTTCGGTAGCGTTGCAGAAGTTTTCTGGAAGACTCATGAATCCTTGAACTGATGGGACATAAGCGAATGCAGTTCCTTGTAAGAGAGCTAGTCTGAAAATGTAGAGTTTTTGGTGAAATAAAATGATCTAATTTTTATACCTCATCCCGAAAAGTGTTTGAATGATTGTCGAAATGCCACTGCTGACAAACGTAGAGCTGATAAGCGTTTGTCGGAGGAAAGCTGAAGAATCATAGTTGAAGGTGACGGGACATCAAAAAAGTTTAATATCTATTTCGCCTATTGTGCGACTACTGTCACAAAGCGGTAGGAATAGTTGACGATGATTTCTTGTGAACCGTCAACTTCGAGCCATATATATCATTTACTGTAATAGATATCAACAAGTGGTACACTGATAAAATGTTTACCATAATATCAGCAATATTTTATAAGTGTATCACTTTTTGATATCTTTTACAGGAAATGAGATAAATTGCCTCAAATTTGACGGTTTGCAGGGATTTCAAGGTATACGAAAGATTACAGTTCTTGTTCCACAAAACTGTTCATCAACTGGTTTGGTGTCTGCCTTACCTTGTTTTTATGGAATTTTACTTTTTTTCTGTTTTTTTCCAAACAAAACTTACCAATTTTATCTCCTGGGCATAATGAATCTGCCATAATAATTGGTACTGTAAGAAGTGCCGAGACGCAGACCATAACTTGTTGAAATCCATAAAGAAGAGCAATTCCGAACGGCGGAGTGTCTCGAGCCCTCAGAAACGGTCGTTGAACCGTCTGTTTTTTGTCTTCCACCTTCTTTTCTTGATAATCCATTTTGAAGGCGAACTACTGAAAATTACAGAAAAAAAACTCGAAAAGGAAAGGAAGAACGAGAGGAAGGAAGAAGAGAAGTGGGGTTTGAACAGAAAATCTACACATTTTCGCACGGAACTTGACAAAATATGCAGATGACAAGGGGGGAAACAGTATTCGCTGTATGCAAAATAGAAGAGGTGACTGACACCCCCACAACTTCTTTTGATGAACAGACAACTCATATGAATGTTTGATTCTTTTTATAATCGAAAAAACAAAAAAAGGAAGGGACAAAAATGGGAAAACTGGACGAAGAAAAATTTTTTGATACATGTCGACAGTGCTACGTTGGCCACTTGGATTTTGACCTTTTTTCCGTTTTGAGCCAGCTGTTGGCCATTACAACGGGGTCGAGGTCACGTAGAAATTCTCAAAAAGTGCAAATTTTGCGAGCATATGGAGAGAAGGTTAAAAACTGGGATCAACGATTACGGAACTACGGATGGTGGAAAATTCCAATGAAAAACTGATTTCCGGTTATGTATGGATTATATTTGTGTTTACAAAAATGTTATCTTAGAATTAGACACGAAAATTCTGAACTGGAACCGATTTTCAGTTCGCTGTGAAAGATTGACTACTGGAAACGATGTAAACACGGGAAAAGTAAAACAAACATGTAAAGATAGAGGGATTAATATGTTTTGTTCGCCAGAAATTCCAGTCGCATTACCTTTTGGTTTTCACCCGAAAAATTCAAATTCTATTTATTGGACGGTTTTTTACTAATTTGACGAATCCACTGTAACCCAAATTAAATTGACTTTTTTGAAATGAATGATACAGGCGAGGAGAAAAATGTGATATCATAGACTGATCAATAAAGATTTGATAGAGGATAGGAAGAGAAGACAAATACGATTTATGGATGCCACCCAGACAGATGATTGGCAATTTGCCAGGGGTGTAAATGACATAATGTTAAAAAAAAATGAGATGGCTAGAAGGGAAGAAAGAAAAAGAATGTGTTCGTTGTTAAAGAGAATTCATTCAAATTATACTGAAAAATGAAAGAATGGATAACTGAATAGAAATACAGGATGAATGGTTTTCCTTTCTTCAATGTGGACGTATACAAATTTGATAATGCCCTGTTGTTGTAGAAAAAGAGAAATCAGATAGACAAATAAAATAGACGCGTATCATTGTTTGACGACTACTGGCAGACAGGAAAAAGAAGAAGAAGAAGAGGATTCGACAAATTTTATGAACAAGAATCGAAAAAAAGGTGGAGTAGAAGGACTGAAGATACCGACAAATAGTTCCGCATAATTGTTTTTAAAAAGTGAAACTGGGAAGTGTCTGATAGATTTTTAACCATTGGCAGCGCCTCTTTTGACTTGGCGTTTTTGAATTTATAATTTCTCATAACAACTGTAAGCCGAAACAAAAACCTGGTAAATACTTATTGAAATTTTGATAACAAGCGTAAAACCTACATGTGACAAAATGGCTGCTCTTCTTTCTTTTGAAATAAACAACAAAACAAAATCGTTAAACTTAGGTGTCTATATTTACTACACAACAAATAAGGTTTAAAAATTTTTACCGCATTTGATTTTTTATTCTGGAAGTTTTCAGATGAAACAAGTTTGCATTTATTGAAAATATGTTCCAACAAAAAATATTTCCATTGATCCGAAGATTAAAACCTATAATAGAAGTCAACAATGAAAAAGGCAACTGATGAAACTATCTCAGAGATGTTCGAAGACTGTTTCTTTTTCATTCCGGATTCTGTAAAAATCCGGATTCCGGATTCCGGGAAAACTATTTTATTTCGGATTTTCAACAAATATGTTAACCTGCAAAAATTATCTTGGACAAGAAGTTTTGTTTTTAATTTCTGCTGAAAAAGATGCAAAAATTAAGCGCGAGATGTTTTTTAGAATTTTTCTGCGCTTGGAAATGTCCAATTTCCGGATTTCGTTTTCCGGATTGAAAGATCATTCCGGACATCTCTTAACTATCTGTATTTCAATAACAATTCCGAACGATTTATTGTGGGTGGTTCGACTTGTGCGCGGGGGCAAAGGATTGCATTGCGAAGATGGTGAAGATGATGTAAGATAGAAGAAGAAGGAGACAAAACGGGCTCTTTTCGTTATTCTTTCTAGATGGTGACGGTCGGTGTGTGTGTCTGTCGTTTGTGTGTGTGTGTGGCTCAGCTCCTTTAACAATTGTGATGTGATGATCGGGTCGAAAAATTGACAATAAAGTGTGAAGGGAAAAAAGAAGAAAAAAGACGGAACAATCGAGGTGGGCAAATTTTGATGGAATGTACTTACAAAATAGAAATCTGTAAATTTAAATGCGGCACCCGGAGCGACTATAACAATACGGATCACCGGATGATAGGGGCGTGTCGACTGGGATGATAATATCGATGATCTGTTTCATTCTCTACTAGGATGTGGGAAAATGGAAGAAGGAAGGAAAAGAGTAATGGAATTGATTTGTACATTTAGTGGCTGCGCTTGTGAGCTTTCTGAACGGTGTCGAGCTTCTTGTTGGTCTGTCCAACGATTGGCTCGATGAAGTTGTATGGAGCCTCTCGGGTTCCGTGCAACATCAGCTCGAACTTCTTGATGGTTCCGGTATGCTCTCCTGGTCCCTGAAAATGAAATTGAGTTAATCGGTGTAAAATTCTAATCGATTTCATCTTATACGGAGCCATAACTTACTTGGAATCTGGCGACGAGTCTCCACTTTCCAGTCGGGTTCTCTCCCCACGTATGAGTTGTCATGAATGGCCAGTTGGTGAATCCATCCTTGGAATCGTCATCCTTCGGTCTTCTGGAGAGAATCATGGTACGGGTTCCCATTGGAGAGATCAAGTAGAGAGTGGTATCTCCACGTCTGGTAGAGTTGAACGAAACGACGGCCTGAACATGTTCCAAGTAGCGGACTTCGTATTGGGTTCCAACGCATCCATCGGTATCAATTTCGAGGACAAGGTTTCCGTCGGCTGGGATCTCACTGAAAATAATTTAAATAAATTGTAATCTACTAATATGATACTTACTGTGGAGTGTCGATGAGTCCAGCAGTGCAGTGATAACGTGGTGGGGCAGTCTTCCAGGCCATAGCCAACATAACCATTTCAGCAGCATCAAGAACTCCAAATCCGAAAAGATGATTGTACTCGAGTCCGACTCCGTTCATTTGCCATTCGAAATGCGAGCAGTTTCCATGAGAATCTCTGTGGTTATCCTTGATTCCGAGTGCTGGAAGCTCACGGCATCTTCCATCGAAAAGCGAGTTACGGCTGGAAGTAAGGACGGTCAAGTGTTGGAGATCTCTCCAGGTCAATGATGGATTGGCTTCGAGAGCAAGAGCAAAGACTCCGGCAGCTTCTGGAGCGGCAGCAGATGTTCCTGAGTGGGAACGAGTGCATCTTCCGTACAAATCAGTGGTGGCGACTCCGGTTTCTGGATTGCGTCCTCCGTTGGAGAAGGTGGAAGCAAGTGTTGAAGAGCAGGATCTGAATATATTGGGTTCAACTGAATTAAGCCTGTCAACTCACTCGTCATAGTGGGCGTTCTCGCCGTTGTTGATGGCTGAGTTGATTGAGATTGTCCACATACTGGCAGCATATCCATCACAGTTGCAATCATCATCCTCTCCTCCGTCCCCACTGGCCCAAACAAAGATGGATCCAAGACCATTACGTCCCTCGTTCACTCCCTTGACGATTGCTCGCATGGTGGCGTTACGTGGTCCATCAACAGTCTTTCCGTCATCTGTTGGTCCCCAAGATGCCGAGTAGATATGGATCTTGTTTGGCTCGTGTCCCATCGAGTTGGCCTCAATCAAATCGGTCATGTATGGTTGATCCAACATTCTGATTCCTGCGACCTTTCCGTCGTAGGCGACTCCGACTCCGCAGACTCCGTTGTCACGAGCGGCAACGATTTCTCCAGCACAGCGAGTTCCGTGAGAGTTGAACCAATCATCAGTGTATCTTGGATATGGGAATGGATCGTTTGATGAGAAGTCATACGAAGCTTCAGCGTTCTGAAAATTTATTTTGTTCATTAGGTTTGAAGACTTGGTGGAGATCTAGCATTAGAAATCATTAATATTCCAAGAATGGCTTCTCGAATTATTTGGATTAGGACTGAACTTTGGAGAAACAAACATTCTGACTTCATTAATCCGTCATGTGATACTCACAAAGTTGTTCTTAATATCCGGATGCATGTAATCCACTCCGTCATCCATGATAGCCGTTGTGATGTTCTTTCCAGTGAATCCCATTGCCCAAGCCTAAAACAATTGTTTCTTCAATTTAATTCTATTTTTTTTCTATCTCTTACCCTTTCCACATTCAAATCCAAACGGGCTTTTCCGCCGGCTTGTCCAGTGTTTTTCTGAAAAAAGAGCATGTTTGAGCAATAGATTTTTTGGGTTCACAGAACATGGGACGCATTCTTCTTCTTCTTTTTTCCCTTCTCTTATTTTTTCATGACGAAGAGTTATCTCATGAATTATTTACATCGTCGGGCGATGAAAACCGAGACGAAAGGAAATCCTCATGAAGGCCTCTCAGGACAGAAAATCCAAAAAAGAAGAAGAAGGAATGGAACCCTAATTTATGACAGAAAAAGATGAGAAAAACGGCAGTGAGTGCTTCCTGAATTCTGCATCTTTTATGAGTTTTCGTGCATTTCAAGACACACCACTCAAGACTTATTGCCTTTTTCTTCCTTGAAACAGAAAGGAATACCCTTCACAAAATGTCTTGTTTTTCTCTCTCAAAGATACCTAATTATCAATGCACGTTGAAAAAAAAAGGAAATACGAATGATTTACATCAGAAGAAGCTCGAGAACATTCTACTCACCAGGTACCACTGATACCCGTACAGTGGATCCGATGGCGACATGACTGACGTGAAATCGAATTGGCTCTCAAGACGTTGTTCCAGTGGACGGTATCCTCGTTTTGTGCGGGTGTATCCTTTCAGTTGCTCGACATGGAGCACCTGAATTTCAAATGATGGAAAGGTGAATGATGTCATTGGATGAAATAGAATTCTCAAGTTTCGGATCTTCAAAAGGTCTATTTTGTAGTAATGATAGGATTAAATGCAGTTTTTTGAATGATTAAGATGGTTTTTAATGCGTCCAAGAGTCAGTTGAAAATTTTGCATGGATTTGTTTAAAACAAAAAAATCAATCAAAGAAAAAAGATTCAAAAACAAATGGTCAAGTTCGGAAAAAGAACGTTCATCCGAATAATAGTATTCCAGAAAAAGATCTCTCACCTCATCATCATTGTGAAGTTTAGCATGATGACCAGCAGATCTTCTGGTGCGTGCATGAACGAGAGCTGGCTGCACGAAGTGGAACTCATTATCACTTCCAGCAACTTGTCCCCGATTGATAAATCCGTGTCGTTTGGCTATCCGATGCGCATCTTCCAGTCCACCTCCCTCTTTTAAATGAACATGGAAATGGTTGGTGTAGACGTCGACCGCCTCACCAATGCCGATTATAATCGACAGGAACACACATATTAGGTCGACATGTGTGTTTTTCATACCTTGAATTATAGATTTTTCAGTCGAGATTTGGCAAAAGTAGGTTTGGAGAAAATGAGAAGAAAAGAGAGCAGATTCAAAGAAACGAATTTCTAAGAAAAGACCCATTTAGTTTACTATACTTCTAAAATAAAACTCGAATTGTAGAGATAAACGTTGAAATACAGAGATACGGTAAACACTAATAGATGGCCACCCTATACTTGAACTTTGAGCTTAATTATCGCAAATCCTATGAAATAACAAAAAACTGTAAACTGATAAAATGTTTGACATGATATCACCAACATTTTATCAGTTGACAAGCTTTTGGTATCTTTCACAGGAATTGAGATATATGAGCTCAAAGTGGACGAATTGGGTGGGATTCTATTATGATAACCAGATTTCATTTCCGATTTTTCACTTTAACATAAAGGGCATCACATTTCCGGAAATGATATCTATTGTATATGATTAATTTTTTTCTGTAGTTGAACACCATGACTCAAAGAAATTCAATTTGTTTTGCCAATTCATAAATTTCATAAATCCCTTTTTGAGATTTGCTAATTTCCGAAACAGAGAAAAAAGATTGACATGTGTCTCCCTCAAGCCCGGAACTGCTTCTAATTTATCATACTAAAGACACAGAGAGTGACGTCGAACAAGATCGGAATAAGAATGAGCTGATGAAGTGAAAAAGGACAAATTCAACTTGTAATTTCAGAAAGACAAAACACAAAAACATATAACTCATTTATACATGACAGCGAAACGGAAATTCCAAAATCTTTTCTTTGCGCGCGCCTATCGCAAATTCAAGAAACGAGAAAAAAAGCTGTCAGTTTTGTTGAGCCGTCCGATCGGTGCTGAAAAAGTGGGCGGCGCGGAAAGCAGAGCGAGACAGGCGAGGGAAAAGAAAAAGAAAAAAGGAAAAGAAAAAGAAGACGAAGACGATGTAGAGGTGGTGGGGGCGAAAGCTGTGCCTCATGCGCGTGTGTGCCGCAATGATCGATACGATGGAGCTGTCGTTTCAGAAGGGAGCTGCACTGCACCTTATCGATCCGAAGAAGGCCTCTCTCTCCGTTGGCTCCGGTTCGACGAGCACACTCACACACGCACACACACAGATCTCATGAGTCTTCTCTCTCTCTTTTTTACAGATGACGTCGTCTTTTTTCTTCCTTCTCAATGCGATGGTGAATGCGTTGGAATGCGAGAGAGTAAGGATCTTGAAGAGAATGGTTCTCTTTTCAAGCTCACATGCTTTTTTCCTCCTTTTTTCTGCCTCGTTTCAGCCAGAGAGCAGTGAAAAGATAATCAAATGAATGACACATAGAGAAAAGAGAAGAGAAGAAGATGTGCTTGAATATGTGTATGCTCCCGATTCATCATCATCATCCTCATCATCATCAGGAGCCCTTCATGTTTTTCGGGGCAAAGGATATTCCAAATGAGATGAACCGAAAAATTGAGAAGGGAGCAGTGGTAACAGGTTTAGCATATTTAAGGGTGTTTCTGTGAATTCTTCCCAGAATGAAGATCCCATAATTTTGAGAATTTGGGAGTTAAAATTGCTTTTAAATTTATAATTTTCAATGATATATTTTCATCGTATGCAGAAAAACCTCCCGATATGAACAGTACCTTTGGTTTGTTATGAGATAGTTATGGTTTTTTTTCTCTAATTTCTTTTTGTTTTTGTTCTCGAATTTTCTAATGACTTCTTTCTCAAAAACAACCCAAAGTCAGAAAACCAATAATGAAAACGATGGGGCGGGCGTTAATAGGAAATTAAGTTTCAGAAATTTTATTCAAGAAGAATAAAAGTTGGGGAAAAAGAAGAAGAAAAAGAGGACGGAACAATGAGACATATAGAAAACAACTCTCGGAAACAAGAGTTCAAAGAGCCAGAGAAGGACTCTCTAAAGAATTCTCGGAAAAAAGGGAGTCAGAGCTCTCGAGGGCACGAGCAGTTTAACCTAATGGAAGAGCTCTTTGACCTCTTTTGGAATTTAGGTCTCTTTTCGCTGAATGTAGACTCATTGGATCGGGTTTTTTGTGTGTTCTTAGCTCAATATCACATGATTTTCTGGTTTGAATCTTCCTATACGACAGCATGAATCACAAGAACCCTTGAACTATTTCCATAGGTCTTACAGAATCAAATCAGAGAAGGGAATAATGGACAAGGGATGATGAGTAACTGGGAAGAATGGTTTCCATGACCAGACATAGGAGACGAGAAAGAGAAAAACAATATTACTGATTAGTAATCAGTGATTACTGACTCACGACATGTTTGAATTCGAGAATTCAAATTTCAAGCAGAAGACATTAGTTTTCATACACGGAAGCTGAAGACTATTGGAATAGGTCTCAAGTGTTTGGAGTAGGCTTTGAAAAGATAAAAAATTCTTGGGATTAAATATTCTGGCTCTAGGAATCCTTGCGAAGTTTTTTAGATTAGTGATATCCGGATTGATTTTCTAGATGAAAAATGTTCTAGAAAATAGAGCAACTCAAGATGAATGTGAAAAATGAATTGAAAAGAGGAAGTCTGCATCAGATATGGAGTACAATGATAAGTAGAAATCGAACAGAACCGAACCTAAAAATATGACGTGAGAGGAGGAGATCTGGGTAATGATGGAGATATTAGTCTATTACAGAGAACGGATAGAAAATGGAAAAACAAACAGAGAGAAGAGCTTTCATTATTAGTTTCTTGCATTTTATTTGAAACCAAACACGAAGAGAATCCCCGTGGACACTAGTATAATCGTATATGTGCATCGACCAAAAACTAATAAATGTAAAAAAATAGAGTTTTTTACGATTATCAGCTGTTATCAAAGCAACTAATTGCATCATCGTTTCTATGGATATTGAGTCACCGAATAAAGTGTTCTGATTTTAAGAGTATGTTCTCAGTATTCAAATTGTACAATACGAAATAATTAGAAATGACAAAGTGATACAATCGGAATAGAATCGAAAACAAAAGTACATGGTCTATGAAAAGAAATCCCACTGCAGTTCTTCTAAAGAACTGATTTCAATAGTCTTATCATAAAGAGCTTATTATTTCTTTAATTCGATCTGACGGTAAAAAGGTTAGGTGATCAGAAGAGGTTGTGGCCGTGTATAAAATGGGATTTGTTTAAGCGTATTCTTCAATCTGTGTCATAAACGAGTTCGATAGAAAGTCGGAGATTAGATAATTTCGGCAAATTAGGTTATTTACAAGAAAATCCACTGGAACAAAGAATCCCGGTAGAAAAAAAAACCGGAGTTATGGAAGAGAGACACTGGGGACCATGACAGAAAGAAAGTCCTGCAGCGACAACTACCGTAACCGAAAAACAGTGAAAAAAGAGAAAATAAATCCCGACAATAAAAATGTTTTAGGTTACGGTAGCTGTCGCTGTGACCTTCGGTCTCGTTCAGCGTTTCTCTTCAACAGGTCCGAATTTTTTAAATCAGAATAATAATTTGAAAGATTCCCTATTGGATGGAACATCCATTTAATTGTCCTTTCAATGTTTTTCTCAACCCGAACAATAAAACTTCAAAGTCGAAATTCCATTGAACCCGATACTAAAATTTATAAACGATACATTACAGTACTCCTGCCCACAATTAACATTATCAAAAATTTAACATGATTTTTAGTAGAATACAATCCTTGTCATGCTTGAATAACAGGACAAAAAAGAGCGAGAATGAGTACAAGAGCACAACAACGACCACATTCAGCTGCGGAAGGAAATTCGAACTGAAATATTTTTGAAGGACGAGGTCGAGCGTGCTCAAGATCTGACGTCATCGAAGTGAAAGAGAGGGAGAAATATTGCAAGTCCAGTGAAAAGAGGAAAAACCTCGTCACTTCAAGATGATATGAATTAACAACTATCCATATATAAAATCCCTAGTAGAATAAGCTGCTCTCATACAGATATCCAAAATGATAACATATCTGAAACGGATATCTGAAAAAAGATATCTGAAAAGGTGGTGTGGGTTGAGTTGCAATTGATATTTTAATCCCATTTTCCTTTCCACCTTAATCCTATTCAATATGCTCCATGTATTATATGTTATATCATATCTGCTCTTCCTCTAGCACATATATTTATGCCTCATTCAGGCTCAGCCCTCGTGTTTCTATGGGGCGCGTTTACACTCCGTCTAACAACAACCGGTTCTTGTCATGCCTCTTCGTCTCTCTTCCGATTTTTCGCTCTTTCTCTTTTTTCAGTAGAATCCAGTTTCGCCTCACTTTCACTCCTCGCAGTACCTTTTATTTTCACTTAAATTAGATTGGACTTTCTTACCGAAAAATTGATTTTGAGCACATTTCATAATTACTGTTTTGTTAGCTTTATTTATGTTGGTGGCTTGATATCAAATTCGATTAAAGTGTTCTTTTTTATTCGAAAATTTGCACATTTTTCTGAAAATAAATTCGAATTCGAAAAGTACAGTATTGTCTATTCAAAATAATCGATGAACGAGTAAAAAACGTGTAGAGAGTCTCCAAACCTGTAGAGGCGCTGTAGAGACGCAGACGTTTTCACTCGTTCACTCGCGCGATTATTTTGAATAGACAATAGTCATTTAAAGGGACATAAGCGATACATTACCTTGTCCCTTGCGAGGATGTTCTTACTGTTGTTGCAGCGATTTCTGCAACGATTTTTACAATTGTTTCAGACGAAAAAGAAAATCAAAATTTGGAATCTATTAATCGATTAAAGTTTTTTTCTGATTCTTCGTTAAAAACATGATAACGTCTTCTTCATGTTCTAGTCTCCGATGGCTGTGTTCAAAACAGGAAACATTTTTTTTTTTCACTTACAGAAGCAAAACATCGTCGACAATGCTGTTCGACGATGAGTGGGTAAAAGCGGAACCAATTGTGAACGCCCTTCTTCATCAAAAAGTAGTGTGATATTCTCAAAAAAAAAGATTTACTGTATTTTCAGACGGTAACTCCAGCGGAATGGCAAGATCTCTTCTTCTATGTCTACAAAATCACATCATGGGTTGATGAAGGCCCGAAAAAAATACGAGACATTTTAACTCGAGATATAAACGCCTATGTTCTTGAAGCAAGTGAAGTAAGCTATTCATGCAGAATCTCCTGACATTGAATCTATCGTTTACAGAGAATCAAAACATTGCAATCAGGCGAGAGTCTTCTCAATGCGTACATAAGTGAATGGAATCGATTCTACCGACAATCTAGTATTTTGCCACTTCCTTTCAAAGTAAGCCCCACCACGACTTTGGTTTGCACTAACTTAGAAATTCTTCAGAAGCTGGATGATAGCTCCAAACCGCGAGCCAATGTGCCCGAACAAGGTCAAGACACTATCCGAGCAGTGATGCTCGAAAAATGGAACGATATCATATTCACAAAAATATGTGATCAACTGCTTGCGGAAGCTCTTCGACTGATCAAAGAAGAACGAGATGGAAACATTATTAATTCGGAGAATGTGATCGGAATTCGTGAAAGCTTCGGTTAGAATTATGCTGGAAACTCCAAAAAAAAGTTTTTTTTGATTTCAGTTACCCTGAACGAAAAGTTCCCAGAGCCGTCTCTGACTATCTACCAAAAATCGTTTGAGAAGCAGTTTGTTGAACAAACATCAATATATTACAAGAAGATTTGTGGAAAAGTATGGGTTCTTTCTCTTTGACAAGACAAAGCGTTATTCAATTATTTCAGCTTCTCAATGAACTCGGTGTACTCGAATATATGGTTTATGCAGACAAAAAGCTAGACGAAGAACAGCAACGAGCGCAGAAGTATCTGGAAATGGGCTCACCAACTGCATCTCAACATATGGAGTCGGTTGTAATTGCATTGGTAGAAAACTTTGAAGACATCATTTTGGCAGAATGTGCAAAACTGATTGCTCATAGAGATGTTGACCGTAAGTTTGTTCGCTAATAAATCAGCTTTTATATTCGATTTTCAGGTCTTCAACGTCTGTACCGCCTGATAAGACGTACAAGAAGTGGTATTGAAACTGTTCTTAAGTGTATAGATCAGCACATTCGTACTGAAGGACTCAATGACATGAGAAACAATGCTGAAAGTCTTGCAACGGTATTCCTTTTCAATGTTTCGTTTTTTTTAATTCCGAATCGTAGGACCCAGAGAAATACGTTCAACAACTTCTTATCATGTTCGACAAGTTCTCAGCATTGGTTCGAGAAGGATTCTGTGATGATGCACGTCTTCTGACTGCTCGTGACAAAGCATTCCGTGCAGTTGTCAACGATTCCTCAATATTCAAAACCGAAATGATGAACAAGAAAAGTCGCATGTTGTCAGTAGAGTCGAAATGCGCAGAGTTGCTTGCAAATTATTGTGATCTTCTTTTGAGAAAAACGCAGTTGAGTAAGAAACTGACATCAGAGGAGATTGACGAGAAACTGGGTCAAGTGGTATGCTAGTTTGATTTCTTTAAAAAAAATGAATTCCATAATTTCAGCTCCTCGTTTTGAAATATGTGGAGAATAAAGACGTCTTCATGAGATTCCACCGCGCCCATCTTTCACGTCGTTTGATTCTCGAAATGAGTGCTGACCAGGAAAAAGAAGAAATGATGGTCACCAAATTGAGAGAATGTGGAATGCCATCTGATGCTGTGAACAAGCTATCTAGAATGCTTCAGGATATTGAACTGAATAAGGTTCGAAAAACAACAGCTTTTATTTACATTAACAATGACATAGCATATTTTCAGGACATGAACACATTATTCAAGAAGGTTCTGACTGGCACTAACAACAACAAATCGATCGCAGACTCCATCAATCTCAAGGTGCTCAATGGAGGAGCGTGGGGCCGTGGAGGCTCAGAGAGAATAAGATTCTCTCTACCAAGAGAACTTGAAGATTTCGTTCCAGAGGTATTTTATTCTATGTCTTCTGATTAATCATTGATTACGTTTTTCAGATGGAAGCGTTCTACAAAAAGCATCACAATGGTAGAAAGCTTAACTGGATGCATCATTGGAGTAGTGGAACTGTATGAATACAACCACTTGAATTATTTATATAAAAACACTTTTCAGATGGTTTTCGGCACTGCAAGCGGCGGTCGCTTCGATCTGGAAATTACTACATTCCAAATGGCTGTTCTTTTCTGTTTCAATGAGAGAGCTCATGAGAAAATTTCACTGGAAACTCTCCGATTGGCAACAGAATTGCCTGATGCTGAACTTAATCGCACTCTTCTGGTGAATGAACATATTTTCAAATCACTCTTTAATAGTTGTCTTTTCAGTCTCTGGTCTCGTACCCAAAAATGCGTTCTCAAATTCTTCTCTGCGATGTCGCATCCCAAAACATTACCGCTCGAGACTTCACTGATTCCACCAAATTCTCCATAAATCACAACTTCCACTTGGTCAAAAATGGAAAATCTCAGCAACGTGGAAAAGTGAACCTCATCGGACGACTACAGTTATCCTTAGAAGCGAACGCCGAGAAAGAGCACGAAAGCATCGTTGCGTTGAGAGAATATCGTGTGCAAGAAGGAATTGTGAAGATTCTCAAGACAAGAAAGACCATCACATTGGCTCAAATGACGATGGAGTTAGTGGAGATTCTGAAACCATTGTTCATTCCGAACCGCAGAATTATCAAAGAGCAAATTGATTGGCTCATTGAAAACAGGTGATAAATAAAATCAAAAGTTCTTTCATTTATTTGAAATTTGAATTCAGGTTCATGGAACGCCGTCCTGATGACATCAACACTTTTGTCTACCTCGCCTAATTTATTGCACCCACAATAAATATATTAAAAAGCAAATTTAGAGTATCTCATGTAAAATAGAATCACCTTCTGATCTAGAAAAATTGCATTAAATTTCAAAATCGCCATTGTATTATATACATTTCATCCCAATGTTTTTGTATTCTATTGTCATTTCGTCTCCCCCACTTTTTCCCGCTATTATGGGTTTCTCCCGGATAATTTGATATTTTGCAGCATATTTCCCATCCAATTTTCCTTCCATGTATTTTGTCTTCAACTTTACCTACTGTCGTCATATATTGCGACAGTACTCGTTTCTTTTTGCTCGACGTCATTATAAAAACGTGATATTTGTTCAGATGTCATCTAAATCGTCTTCTGTAGACATGGTAAAAACAAGTAGGAGACAAGTTAAAAATATGTTGATTCAGAGATAGAGCAAAGACTGGAAGAACTAGCACTATAAAAAGGAGAATTCTGAGTAGCGTAGAACAAAAAAATGAAAGCTTCTCTAATTATTATGTTGTTAACCGTGATGGCTGCTGAGGCGGAGTGGGCACAATTACCACAAATTTCGATGGACTTGGTAAGATATTGTGCTGGTACAAAAAATCGGAACTGTGGAAGAGAAACACCGATGGCCAACGACAACTACAGTAACATGAAAATAGTTTTTTTTCCGGATTCATTATGTCGATTTTTGTGCGTTTTCAGTCAATTTTTCAATGCCCAAAACTTTTATTTTGTGCCTTTTCTGGAGGAAAACAACAGAAAACCCGACAGGAAGCAGTAAAAATTGAGAAAGTAAACCTGAAAATAATAATATTTTTAGATTACTGTAGTTGTCGTACGTTCTGCCACAGACACCGGCGTTCCTCTTCCACAGCTTTGATGTCTTTGTACCAAGATAATAGCGAAATCAAGTTTCAGACTGCCTGAAATTTGACGAATTTTAGTTTCTTCAATATTTTCAAAGTTCGAATAAAAATCCATTCTTTTATTCTTTCAGAATCCAATTCACCAACTCTGTCAGCCTTGTATTTTGGTAGCAGATGCTGTAAAAGACACGAACAAATCACCAATTGTCAAAGAAGTAAAATGCCATATCGAAGAAAAAACATAAAATTTTTACAACTCCGTTTTTTTCAGGCAGAAAAGAAGACATGCAACACAATTTTGAAGAATGACTTGGTCTGCAACGGAGCTGTCGAAGTCGCTGGAATCTATCTGAATTGGACTCCATCCCAAAAGATTTGCGAGAACTTTCAGATGTGTGCTCCACTTTTGGATAACAAAAAGATGAGAGCTCCGGCTAAAGGAGCAAGGAGACCAGATGAGGTGGCATTGATGGTTCTAGATGTGAGAGGATTACTGTAGTGAATTTCCAGAACATTCTAGTTTCAGGCTTTTGAGAATGACGAGTTTCCCATTCTCCAGTCTCGTTTCGCACGACAGACGCAAAACTCAGTAAACCTGTTGGAAATTCCAGAAGTTCAAAACTTTGAGAAATGTGAATATTTGTAACGGTACTTATTAAAATTCTACTTTTCAGTCATCCGGGAACACAATTCTGAAATCATGGAAGCATTTTTGAAGTGTTTAACCAAATTCCAGAACGCACTGAATGTTTATGTCAATGCGAATCCTTCTTCTGTCTGACAGAGAAACGAAATATTTCATTGACCTGTATAAAAACATGTGAATAAACTTCTAAAATATTTATCGAACTTGTCTTCAAAATTTAGAAAAACGAAACATTATAAAAGAGAAGAGAAGATTACAACGAATTGCACCAATTGCACTCCAATTCCATTTTCGAACCGATCGACGTTTGACGGCTTCTGTTCAATTCAGAATCGCCTTTTCGGATACTGCTGATATAGCAATCCATGATGTTTTGAGTCAATGAAACCGGTTTGATTGGCGGAGGTGGAACGATTTTGGTGCGACGAAAGAAGGCGGTATCCGGAAGAATGTGATAAGGAGGCGGCAGATTGATGAAACCTTTAAAAATTTAGATGATTGACTTGAGAATGAGCTATAAAGACAAACCAGAAGATTTTTGAGCGGGGTAGAAAGAGAATGGGGTGATTGTCGCGGAGGAATCACAACTACCGGCGTGTGAAGAAGATGATGAACCGTATGATTTTGCAAGAGAAAGAGACGAAAACGAAGAGAATGATTGAGCTGAATTGGAGAAGACGGACACTGGAGACATCTGAAAATGGATTCAAAACTTTAACGTTCTAACCAGACATCCTTACTGAAGAATTATGTTGCATGAAATTCGTGAAGATATCAGTCAACTCATCAACCGTAATTCCTTGTCCAGCCGAGCTCACATTCTCAACTCCATCCAAATCATCCAATGGGGTTTCCATACATTTCTTCCATTCTTCTGGCTTACAAATCGTCCATACGAAATCTCCTACGAACAGTACTCCAGTTGTCAATTTGAAAAGTTTCGAAACTATTTTCCGTGCTGACATTTCCGGAGAATTTCGAAAAGTCACAAAAGCCTGACAGGCATCCAAAGTGCACATATGAACCGAATGAACAGGTCCGAATCTGCAAAAAACAAAAAAAATGAATTAGAAGGGATTAAAAAAACCAACGGTGCTAATTCAATCTTCACATCTTCTTCAGTGACTTTTTCTCCCTGTGAAAAGTTTATGATGACTGCTCTTTGAGCATGTTTCTTCTTCTTTTTATGAAGTTGAGGTTGAGATTTACATGAGTTTTTACTAGTGGGAATTTCTGGAAATTTTTAAATCGGGTTTTTTTCTGGAAGCATTGGAACCTGAGTAGGAGGTGATTTGATATGAGTTGTTGCGGCAGATTGCCATCGTAATGAATCGAGAAATGAAATTGTGAAAAGTTCATTATTTTTGTTCGTGAAGACATAAGTTAGTAGTAAACTGGTGCTAACAAGGGAAGGTTTTTCAGACAACGGTTGAGAATTTGCCCAAAATTTGTATACTTATAGTTTAAGACATCTCTATACGATGACGAAAAAATTTTTAGCCCGTTCTCACTCGTAGGCTGAAAAACTTTGTCTGAAAATTTTCCCAGATTTCTCCACGCAGCCGATCTCGGCTTCCCCCTCCCTGCTCTACCAAACCCGCGTGAGAAGAAAATGTCGGTTGTGTGGTGTTGTGGTAAGAGGTGGCTCATTAGGAGTGACTATGGTGGTTCGAACCCCACTGGGGTAAAACTTTTTTTGCTTTTTTTGAAACTAATTTTTGATTTCTAGTTTGCCCCCCTAAGCACTATATGACACTTTTTGATGAATTCAAAAGGCTTTCAAAGTAAAAAAAAAAACGATTTTATGAGAGTTTGATCAAAAGTTAGATAATGGTCTTTTTAACCGGGCATTACATCATCCTATCGTTAAAAACGAAAGCTTCGGTCTCTGAAAACTGATCAATTTTGCTCTTTTCGAGATGGGATACTATTAAGTTGATTACTTATAAGATTTGAGTCTATATCTATAGGTTTCAGTTAATTTCAAGTTAGGGAGAGTCAAAGTTCTAACAACAATCATACTTTGGGGATTTTTTGAGCCCAACGACAACATTGGGCTGTCAAATTTTGTCAGGATGCTATTTTTATCGTTTCTGAATAATTGGAACATTTTTTCGAACTTTTCAAATAATTTTCAAAAAATCACTTTCGAAGTGCGGGGGACCCCATGGTGATTTTTTTCAAAAGTTTTCAAAAAAAATATTTTTCAAAAACTGTTTTAAAAAATAGAAAAATGTTCAAAAATTAATTTCGCACTCAAAAAAACCCTGTAAAACTAATTTTTAGCCTCGAAAAATGCATGTTTTTGGTCAAAATTTAGTACTGAAAGCACTTTCAGAGGCCATATTTCTTTTTTCTGAGAACGGGCTAAAAATTTTTTCGAATTCTTATTCAGCATGTTCGAAAGTACCTTTGTACAAATTTTGAGCAAATTCTCAACCGTTGTGAAAAACCTTCCCTTGTAAGGTTTTCAGAGTTTGTTTTTTAGTAAGAGAAGAGGACGAACCCGTTTTGAAACAGGGATATTAGAACGCAGGGGTCCAATGAAATTACAATAAAAATTCGGAATAGAAGATTGCAAGTAAAGAGAAGATGGGAAGTTTCAGATCATTATGTGCAGATTTTTCGTATTTTGAGAGACATGTTTGGTATCGAGGATAGTCGGCGTACTCCATAGAACACAATTGGGCTCCTCTGAAATAGAATTTTATCTTTCTCAAACTATACAATGTCCACTTACTTATATTCATCCACTGGCATCACTGGATTCCAGAAAGCAGTGTTGTAATTGATATAAGTCATGAACAAACTGTCGTTGGTTTTCATTTTTTCAAGAACATCGGAAACAGCATTCGGTGTGATATCTCTGAAAACAAAAATATATATTTTAAAAATAATAACATTAAATGGAACCCAACCCTGTAATTCCATAGGCATCTTTAAACGAATATTCGAAAACGAATGGCGTCGACGCATTTTTATTAAGCTCATCGAGATTTATGTAATAAGTTCTGAAAATAATATTTCGACCCTTTTGAATTTTCAAAACCCTCTCTCACTTGATATCTTCAATTTTACTGTAGAGATCTGTTTCATAAACCCGGAATGTTGGATTATTGGCTCCAGCTCCTGGAAGTGTAGAGAACCAGGGAGTTACAGCTGGAGACATCAGTGCCAATTGAACAACGTTTTCTTTTTCATCCTTAATCAAATGGAATGTATCTGTGTGATGATGTCCAAAGATCATCCATCCAATTGAATTGGCATATCGTACTGTCAAATTCAGGAATTTTTCATTGTATTCGTCACGGAACCATGTGATATTCGGAGTTTTCTCGAATGCTGAAATGTTAAAATTAGAATAGGAACAAATAGGAGGAAACCTCCAGGTGCAATATGAGCGATAATATGAACAAGAGAAGTACAGTTCTCTGAAACTCTATTTGGACACTTTTCTGCGTTCGCCAATTCCGTCTCCAAGAATGCAAACTGATCAGCTGGATCTATTTTGTTTGTGAAATTGACGTATGCTTTGTTTGCGCTGAAGATAAAAGTGACTTTGGTTCAAAACATAGCAATTTTCAGAACGAACCTATAATAAAGGTTTGTGTTTAGCACGACGGCTGTTGCATTTGGAAGACGGTATTTGTAGTATCCACCTTTCAAGAACGTTGCCTGAAATTAGTTTGACAGTTCAGTAATTTCCCTTTTCATCCATTTTCAAACCTTATTCTCATCACCCAATTTTCCTTTCCATAGCTCCCAGGTTTTTGTGTAGAGGCTTGATTCCGATTCGAATCCATTAGAAGGACAGTAATCGTGATTTCCAAATGTGGGTAAGATGATTTGATTGGGGAATCTGAAATATTTCGAAATTTCTTTCAATCACGAATTTTATCATCAACTTCTGGTTCCTGTTTCGTTTTTTTTGTGTGTCACAAGTATTTTTTTTCCCTCCCTACTATTACGTAAAGAACCAAGAAGCACATTTGATAAGAGGGGATTATAGTGGCAAATCGCTTTAAGTGAAACAGAAGAAAAATACGGAGAAAGTGAAAATTGATGTACCTGGAGAATAGAAGCGAGGTGGTTTGATTGACCGCATCGAGCACAACTGAAAAAAAAGTATTATTAACATTAAAATCCTGTAGGTCAACCTTCCCATCCATATCCTTCGATGTGAGCTACATTATCTCCAGTCCAAATGATTAGATCAGGATTTGGGAACAGTCGAGCTGATTCATCTATTGCGTGTTGGATCAGAGGCTAAATGTTAGCTGATCTATGTATTAGTTAAACGACCTACTTTTGGAGCATCACACATGTAATCTCCGAATGGTCCTAGTGTCTGATTTCTCTTTGTTCCATCGTCATGGCACATTTTTGTATTGTCTCCATTTATAGAGTACTCAATATCCAAATGGAAATCAGCCAAATGGAGGACTTGACACGCGAAATTCGCACTTGGAAGAGCCAATAAAAGCAGGTAAATTCGCAAGTTTGCCCACATTCTGGAAATTTCTACGAATGATGGAATGATATTGAGGGAATTGAATGGAACGATGCTATAAACATTTCATTCAATCACACGATTTTGTATAAACAAAAACAATAGCAATGTGTCTACTATGACACAATTGAATGCAAAAAAAGAAGGAGAAGAGAAAGAAGAAGAAGAAAAAAGAAGGTGATAAGTATCTTGTAAACCATGCTCTTATTAACGACTTTCTTATCACAAAATGTCATCAAACGAGCTACTGAAAATACCGTTAAAAGTGTGGAGACACAGATACATTTACAGTTTCCAAGGAATCGAAAAAGTTTCTCCGAAGGTCATTGAACTGATGATACCACGTTGGAGGAAAGTGAGCGAATGGGAACAAGAAGAGTGATAAGAGGGTACTGGGCCAAAGAGAAAAATTATCAGGAACCAATTTGGAATACACAATTTATGGCATGATTGATTACAAATTACATCAGATGGGAATGTATTATATTAAAAACAATCACAAAATTTTTGAAATTTTCAAAGATTCCTGAATAGAGACTATATTGAAAAACTGCGAAAGGGAAAATTTTGTGTTTTTATTAAAAAGTCAATAACATGAATCGATAGATTTCGAACACCTTTTGGGTCCATTCCCAGGAGCACCAACAAGTCTTTGGAATACAGTATCTCCAGAAAAAATGATCTCAGTTGACCTCATTCAAACCGGCTAGTAATGTTTTCTGATTCAGCAGCTATGTTCTTAACATTTGAATAATGCATACTTGTTAAATTCCGGGCCGGGTTGAGGCTGAGTTGAAAATTTTCTTCCCGTCCGGGTAGCGATTTTTTGAAAATCCTTGAAAAAAATGTATTGATTTCCACCTCATAGAACGTTTCCTGACAGTGAGATGTTGCGCCCTTAAAAAAAATCGAAAATTTCATAAAAGCTTCTGAAGTTTGAACTTTCAGAATCTGACCCGTTACGACAGGATCGGGCCGGAGAATTTTTCAGTTCGGCCTGGCCCGACCCGGTCAGTGACAAGTATGAAGTTTAGTGGTTCTCCCCGATAGATCCTCTGACTCTTATTTGCAAAGTTTTCGAGTTCAGAAGTTCACTACTCTTCCCGGCTACTTTTGGTTTATGGAATTGATAAAGGAAGCAATCTATCGAATTCAAACATAGTTGATGATAATAATTGCAACTTTGTTATTGACATTTCCAGATTTTGAATCAGACAGGTTCCAAATTCATTTTCCTGTGAACGGGCCGAACGATGAAAGTGGATACTTCTATTTTCGTCTTGATGTTATTCTTTAATTTTCAGATTTTCGAAGAAAAACACAAGTTCGATTAATTTACTATTTTTGTAGTGTATCGAATTTCTGCTTATTTTGAGCCTATATAACTATGTGAAATCTATATAAATTCTTTCAGATTTTTCGATCGTAATTTCTTTTTTCTGGAACCGAAACATGCTGACTATTCAAAAACGTATGACAGGAACACTTCTGATTCCTGGAAGCTCATGCCACCACTGTCTGGATTCTGAGTCAATATCTTGGAAAATTGTGAATACTTTGAATGAACTCCCACTTTCTTTTTTGATTTTGCACGATTCTTTTGCTTTACTTCGCACCCAGGAGAAATCATAACTGGGAATTCTTTGAAAAACAATGAAATTCCCAGACATAACCAAATCAAACATAATCATAAGAAGAAAAAGTTGCCTCTGTCACTTGTTTTCTGTCTACTTCCTCCCCTTCTCTGAATCTATGTCAAATTAAATTCAGAATTGCAAACTGTTTTGCTATAAAAGAAGAAGACAACATCACTCAACAAGTCACTTCATATTTTTTTTTTTCAAAAAGGTCACTGACCTATTCTAATATCTCATTTGTAGTTTATATTCTTTCCTTGACTGACTTCTTCTTCTTCTTTTTCTCCAGCTCTGGCTTTTGTTTCAAAGACTTTGATGACATTTTACTCTTCCTTATTATTCCTTCAAATTGTACAACGCAACTTTAATTTAGTTTATTGTTTTGCATAAATTCAAAAAAGGAAGACATTGAGTCCCATGTTTTTTTTTCTGATTCATCTTTATCCAATTTCAAAAAGGACCACCACTCTCTGAAAATTATCTTCGATTTTCAACCAAAAACAGATCAAATTCCACGCAATTCCTCTCATCTTCCATATTTCTGTGCCTCGTCACTGGCGTGCACCTGCCTGACGCAAAACTCAAATTCTCTTCCGTAACTCAATCAGTAAGGTACATTCACTACGTTTTTTTGCTGTTTTTTTGCACTCTGATGTTGATTTTTATAGAGTTTACATTTTCTGAAAGCATGCAAAAATTAATTACAAATTATAAAACAACACATCGAATATTAGGTTAAATAATGGATTTAAGATTAAGGAGTCAATACACATACGTAACAGATCGAGGTGACATTGTTAGAATCTATTGAACTTTTGAGCTACCGTTAATTAGGTCAGAACTAAAAGAAAGATAAATCATTGATTACCGTAATTAACTTTATGTCAATTTTTCTCTGTTCATGTACATAATACAAAAAAGTTGTTAACATATAAATTGTTCATCATAATATCAGAACAGAGATAATTAAACTCGAACTTGACAGCGCGAAGACCCTTCGATTACTGGTTTCACGACAATACCGTAGTATACACATCATTATTATTATGATCACATCATTTTCTAACGAATAATTGGAATTCTTAAGTTTCAACAAACGAGTGCAAAAATAACCTGCCGGACACCGAGTTAACCCCCAGACAGCTGAAAATGTTTGATCCGCAAATTTTTTAACTGTGAAAACTTTGAATCTGCAAATTTCATGTAGTCTATTTTGACCAGCTCAGATGTTCAGCCTCCTGCATATCTTGCAAATCAAAAATTTCCAAGATTCTACATATTTAGTTTTTTAGTTTATTAGAGTGGTCGAAAGTTATCAGCCACTACCGCAGTACAATAAAAATGAATAATTATGTTGTTCAAAAACCAAATTATTCCTCCAAGCTGGATCAAGTCATAGAGTCGAAGGCCTCTAAAAAGATTTCTAAATTCGTTATCTAGGTCATTGCTGGAACAAGCATTATTCCGGTACTAAAAATCGGAGATGTATTAGGTTGGCAACTAAGATATTTTTAGGTTACTGTAGTTGTCGTTTTAAGACCTCTGGCCACGGCTACTGGGTTTTCTCTTCCACAACTCCATTTTTTGTACCAGACTAACATCTTGTTTATTTTTTCTGCTTTTCTGCATCCGTATCCGGTCCGTTCGCGAACTCCGTATCCTGTCCGATTGCGAATGTTGAAAAAACGGATCCGTTCGCGAACTCAGATTCGCGAAACTGCCCGTAACGGACCCGTTACGGATAGAAAACCTAGTGGACACCGAAACGGATCCGTTCGCATTTTACCTGTGGACTAGCACGAAACTTCAATGTGGGTGTAAAATGAAGAATTTGTAGAATGACTGACCCTGTACCTTATTTGAAAAATAAATGATCTAAACCTTCTGACAATAGTGAAGCATGTTCCCAGAACTACCCTAGCCTCGTTCAAAGTATCAAATTTTTCGAACTCCAAATTGGAAATTTTGTTTTTTTAATCCCAAAACAAAAACAACTTTCCCCGGTTCAAAAAGCTAACGAATCGCAGCGACGACAATTTCTGTATTGTTTTCCAAACACTGCGTCAGTGCTCATTTCCACTCTCCAAGTATCTTTTTCTACAACTATTCAGATGGAGACTGTTCTGAAAATAACGCGCGGTCAGACCGTGACTGGAATCCCTAATAAAGGGCTCCTACGACGTCAGTAAAGCGTCGATTCGTATTCAATGGTCGCATCCATTTTGCAACTGTGTCATCTTTTTACGAAGACCGCCCCTCATTTCGTTTATAAGGGAAAACCATGTTATGATCCGACCATCAGGAAGAGTTATGTCAGTTGGCGATTATCTTTATGCACCTTTCTGTTTTCATTCAAAATTTTTAGAACGCGTAGGTTAAAGTGTGGGTGTATGTTCCTAAAATGTCATACCAAGAAAACAAAATTTGAAAAACTCTTTTCAAAACGAAAAAAGTTTTTTTTCAATGTTCTTGATAACTGAGCATGTTCTTGTTTTCTTCTGAATTTCGTTTACCACACAAATGTGATTAGTATAAAAAGGTGAAAACCTAGAGCACAGATAGCCCAAGATGTGCGATACGTTTGGCTTATCAACCAGATCTTATTTTTGATTCCCTTCTCTTTTTTCTCATATGATCTAGAAAACGAAACATCACAACTTATCAGTCAGGTCTCATCCAGATCAACAGTTACCAGTCTGATCCGATTTGAATTTAATAAAATGCTAATCTCGATTTTGTAAGATCTATACTATATTTCGTATAGCTAATAGGATCACAATCAAATCGTAGTCTATCATGATATTTGATCTGGAACTTCTTACTCATCAGGGGAAAGAAAACAATTGAAATGTTGTTTCAATTGATCATCAAGGAAGGGCTTCTCACTTTCCTCCTTCGCTCTGACATCAATTTTCAACGCTTTTGTGTGAATTTCTGATCAAAATGACGTGTTTTAAATGTTTTTACTATGAGCTAAACGATTCGAAAGACCAATTGTGATCTGATCCATAACGAATGTTCTCTGTGTAGCTCTTTCTTTTTTCAAAACTCATAAGATGTGTCAGTATGTAATTACGAGTCCGGCCGGATTACATGCTCTCACAGGATTCAAATCCGACAAAACAGCAACAACAGATCTCTTCACATCGTTTTTTGGCATTTTTTTGTTTCTTGATCTAACACTTTTTCAAGTATCCGTAACACAACGTAATTTCTCCGCCTTTCTTGACAATCATTTCCAACCTAATTTCCGGAATTTCATCTAACGAAAAAAATCAATTGAAATTTTATTAGTAACCGTCATTTGCAAGGAAACACAACGTTTATTAGGAAGGGACCACCCCTTTTCGATATGTAAAAAATGAGCTAGATCTTGACCAAGTTTCAGAGTATTTTGGACGAATTCCCCCCTCAGTACCCAAATAAATAATTCCCCATTTACTCGAAAATTATGTCTTCTAGGCCAGGATCCAAATCCGTTTTTGACGAAGTTCCGTGGGAAAAGATCTGGAATTGTGCATCGCTAATTTTCAGCTCAAGCTTTATTGCGTAATTGCACATAGACATTTTTCATTAGTAGATGAACCAAAACATGCATTATTTGTTTTATCCGGAGAGTTCAGTTGTGGTTTCAAGTAATCATTTAGCTCATACCAGCCTGGTAATTCGGTCATTTTTTTTGGGTTTGATGACAAAATAAGCTTCCTATTTTTGGTTCCTCGTTCAAATCAGTTTGTGTATTACTTCATCATTATCCAAATGATCTCATTTTTACAGTCAGGATTGCTCAGGTTTAGTGTTTTTAGAGAGATCACTTCGAATTCGAAAAAAAAACAATATTTTCGTTGTTCGATTTTCGACTTTTCAAACAAATAAGATTTTTTACATGTCCTTGTCTGATTCAAAATCCCACAGTACACATCAAAACAAGTGTCGTCATTGCTTGAATCTCAAAGTTTCATGGGGATAAAATTAGGCTTTTTCTGAGAATTTTAAGATTTGAACATCAATTTCTTGCCCCAGATAGTCCATGTTGAAACTGAACTCATTATTTCTATTTGTTTGCCGACATGCATTTTTCAAATAAGGAAAGAGGAAACGGTAACTCATGCATGACTATCTCCATTTCTGAAAAAAAAATAAGATCAGCCCAATCATAAGATTTTTTGAACATTAATTCCAGAATTTTAGACACGGAACCAATTGTCATAAGAGGATCTCACTCGATGTGAGATAATCTGAAATTAATTTCTGTTTACCTTGATATCACTATTTTTGTTATGGAGTATAGTTGACACAAAATGTCCCAACCTACTACAAACTCCATTGTGAAAAGTTCGAATGTTCTCTAAATTGATCTTTACTAATCAGAGAAGAAGGTGTGACGGGATCGGAGACTCTGCTACATCGGAGCACTTCTCTGACGTCCAAGACAACCAAAATCAATTACCACCACTTATAGGTTTTCTATTACGTCTCCACCCGATAATTCAATCTTACAATCTCCTTTTTTTTCGACTTGCCATATACTTTTTCGGAGCATAGTCCATCACAAATATCAGCTTATCCATTGAATTCCATCTTCGGTTGCTTTGGCTCCTCCCCTTTTAGTTCGCTCCGCCTTCATCTTTTCGCTTTTCTTCAAATACCTGCATTATCAGATCTCATAAAACACAGAATATCTTCTCAGATGTCTCCATTCTTCCAATTGATGGTTGTATTCACAATTGTTGCATACTGCAGTTCCTACGGTAAGTCAAATACATATGTATTCACCCGGTCCATTTATTAGAAACAAATTTCACACATTTCACTCATTTTAGTTGTAGTCGTTGATCCATTCGAAAGAATAGAAGAGGCAAATGCGGCGGCTTCTGCGTCGCAAGATCCGCAGATTCCGGTCGTCGCACCCTCGGATCCTATTCTGCTTCGGAAGAGAAAGTCGATTCTAGTGGGACTCGCGGAGCACACCGAAGAAGTCTGCAAGACCAGAATTCGACAAAACCATCGGCCACAATATGGACATAGTGAGTCGAAAGATATACTATTTTAATTAAAAAATTAAACGTTTCAGTTGCCAACGGAAGCCGTGTGGAGATTCAACAGGATGAGGAAAGTTCCCTTGAAGCCACCTTTGTTGAATGCCTTGGAGAGAACAGACCACCATGCCACGGAGTAGATCATGATTTGTGAGTTGTAGAGTAGTTGAGAAGGATTTCAACGATGTTCTAATTTCAGGTTCATCTCGGAGTGCGTTACGGTTTACGAGCACAGACCAGCCAACGTTCGAGTTGTCAAATCGGGAGGTGCATTCTTTGCAGCCACTGTTCGGGTTAGTTCAATTTCCTGTACCACATAAAATTAGTTTGCCACTTTGTTGACCTATCTCACTATTATGATTCCAGGTTCCAATCCTCTGCGAATGCCGTCTCCGCCGTCAATTCAAAGACTTTGACAAGAGGAAATAATGATTTCTCTACAATATAGTAATCCATAGTTCCTACTCCAACTGCTCACCGGAAGCCACCGTGCCAACCGATCTTTTGATACTCTTCGAAATGATACTCTTCTAATTAAATAACTCTTTTTCATTCCCTGTACTCATCATTTACTCGACATTCTCTTATTTCGATGTTTTTGTGCCATTTTACCTAAATATAACTGACTTATATTTTATTCACCTTTACCTTGGATCTCATCTCTTATTTGATCTTCACCCAATTTTACTCATCGTGTATTCCATATATATATTATGATCTGCATTTAATTGTGTCACAAATTTTAATCCGAGTTCCGATTCATTGACTGTTTTGTGCAGAAAATAGAAACGAACTGCGGGGGAAACGAGATCTATAAAAATTTTTTATTCATTGGGATCTTCTTCTTTTGTGGAAAAATGAGAATAGAATGACAAATCTTATTTGCAAGAATGAAAAAAAAAACAAAATTGAGAGGTGGGTGGAATAACAATTGGAATGAAAAATAGCATAGTCTTTTGGTACAAGAGTTAAAATAACAAATGATATGAACACCACAACTTGATAAAATAATTGAAAATCAATTGGTCAAAAAATGACGGTTAGAGTGATTACGGTTTTTTTTTCATTGGGAAATAACCAACTGGGATACTGAAAAATGTAGACTAAAAACTGTTTTAGAATTTACTTTTTACATGTTTTGTGTATAAAATTCCGTAGATTCTCGAATCACTTCAACATCTAGAAGCATCTGAAGTTTTCTGAGAATTCTGATAATTTCAATTTAAAAACAATTTAGTTTAGTTTTTGGAAAACTTTTTCGGCACTTAAGAATGGACTATATACTCGGCTGTCGACACTAATACTTCCACAAGTCTCTGAGCACATTATTCTATGTAGTAGGCTTGTCTTACACTTGTGGGAGACTTGGCCAAGTTTCGCGTCGTTACAATAACAACAGAAAATACGGAATACAAGACTTGGTCAAGCCTACCACAAGTCTTGCACAAGTCTCCCACAAGTCTTAACACAGAATAATGTGCTCAGAGACTTGTGCAAGTATTGGCGTCGACGACAGCCAAGAGTAAAAAACATTGACATATTTCTGTCTAATATGGTATCTGACAAAGTGAAAGGGAGGAGTAGAAAACGACGATGTCGTCTTAAAACTCTCATTAGACCATTATTTAGAGATATTGAAGGCGGATGGACATGTAAATGATCCACAGACCTCCTCCTCCCCTTTTTCAGAAGTCTCGTGGATCCAGAGATCCAGAGAAAACCCAGTCTCAACTTCTATCTCCCCAAGAACAATCACATCCTCTCCTGACTCCTTATCCTAATGGGAGATTGTCCTGCTGTTCCAGTGTTGATGTGCGTCGACAAGTGCTTGAATGGTAATCCCAATTCTATCTATATATCCATTCTCAAAACATGGTTCAGATCGGAAAAGCTCATGCACTCAAGGACATCTTCTCAAAGGACATCTCTTGTAGCCATCTTCATGACCCCGACAGGTAAATAGGCGCCTAAGATTCTCATCACATAATATGATTCAGCTCGGCTGCCACGTGTTATGATATCACCGTGTTGGATGACGATGGAGGAGGGAGTCCGATGTTCGACCGTCAGTCAGCTCGTAGTGGTCGTAGTCGTTGAGCCTTCGTTTTTTTCGTCGCCTGAGAAGAACCTAAGAACAGCGTTCCAGAGCTGGCAATCCGCGTCGAGATTGACAGGTACGCTACTTGGCCCAATATCAATGCAAAGCTCTCTAGAATCCTTGAGATCCTAACTAGATTTTTTTTCTGATTCCTTTGAGTATTTTCAAACAACACTAAATTAAAAAATTTTGTGAGTTTAGAATCTTTTGGAACCTCCTGGATTCTCCGTCACTTTCTTAATTTATCTAGATTTTTGTAGATTTTTTGAGAAATCCTTTCACAAATTCTGAATTCTTGCCTCTTACCGAGAGCCCGTCGACTGTGTCATTCAGAAAAACATAGTGAAAATCAGTAGGAAAAATCAGTATTAGAATGCGCATTTTGAATTCTCCTAGAATCTTCTATAATTTTAGAATCCCCTAGAATCTTCGACACTTTCTCAATTTATCTAGAATTCCCATAGGCTCTGGATTACGAGTATCCCCCTTCTAAGCTGAAAAGTTAGAGTCTTTTATTCCAACTCTGGTTTTTAGAGATTCATTCCCACCCACATAGGTTGGAGTATCTGACTCTTTCTGGACATACCGTGAACCGTAAACTTCCATCAAATTTCTTTTTCTCTCTCTCTCCCTCTCCCTCTCTCCCTCTCTCTCTCTCTCTCTCTCTCTCTCTCCCTCTCTCTCTCCCCCCCCCCCTCTCTCTCTCCTTTAGATAAATTAAGAAAGTGACGAAGATTCTAGGGGGTTCTAAAATTATAGAAGATGCTAGGAGAATTCAAAATAGGCATTCTAACACTGATTTTCCTACTGATTTTCACTATGTTTTTCAGAATGACACAGTCGACGGGCTCTCGGTAAGAGGCAAGAATTCAGAATTTGTGAAAGGATTCTCAAAAAATCTA